TGCCGTAGTGCTGTCGCAGATGTGATCGATGAACCAATCTTGCATCCCAATCGGTTGCTTCGTAGGGCCGATTGAGATAACAGATTGAACCCGGCCGAGACTTCTTCTACCTTTGCCATTTGCCATAACCTTTCGGTATTCGTCATTCGCCGCCTTGATCTGAGTTTTCTCTGGAATGCTCCTTTTCATTGTTCAGTCGTCACTCTCAAGCCTCTCGTCCAGCTGTCACTCTTCAGTCAGACACCCATCATTTGCTACCGAATTGCTCTACCCTCAGATCATCACTCATCCAAATCTCAGCTCTTTTGCCGCAATGCCGCACAACGCCAATCAGTCCCTAAACCTGCCATGTGCCACAGTATCATCCCGTTTCAAGATCATCCCGTCAACGGCGTACCTGAGCGGATAATGGATTATCAGAAACCGTCACATTCAAACACACTCACACACATTTCTCATCAGAATCTACAGAACGAAAGCAAAACTCTTCTCCCAAAACTGTCACCTTCGCATGACTCCCAAGCCTGCCATCGGAACCCCTCCGTCCCCTGCTAGCTCCAGGGCTCCAAAAGCCAAACAGACGAAACAATCAGGGCAGCTCCCTGGCCGAACATCATGGCACCCCTGATGCCGCGGCCGGGCATGCCAATGGGCTGAGTGGCGTATACTAGAAGGAAACCCCCGATCTGGCAGAGCATCTCTGCGCTGGCTAGCCCCTGTGTGAACTGCAGTGTTCACACACATCCGGCCATGTCTCCCGGTCCAAACATCCGAAGCGCGGAACCTAGCCAATGGCAAAAATGCAAAGGAAAATTGTGCATTACTGCAAGCACTGCAGCACGCAGCCCTCTCTCTCGTCTGTCGTCGCTCGCGCGGCCGCCTGCGTCCATCCCGAGCCACCGGTGCAGCGGTCGCCGCAAAAACCGGTCGGCGTGCCATGGCGAGACGATATGACGTAGGGGAGAACGGTGTATGGTGTAGCATCAACAAAATCATGGTCATCCCACACGCCCCCTTTTCCCACCCTCCCGGATGGCCGACTAACTCCGCCTGGCGAGAGACGAACGAAAGGGCCATTTTTAATCTCAGCTTGGTTTCTTCCCTACCGTCACCTGGCTGTTGCTATTCTTTGATATGCGTCCTTGACAGGACACCACCTAGAATCACACGTTCGAGAGGCTCTGTTGTCCGTTTCCAACTGGCTCGTCGATCTTCCGGGTCCCCTTCGAACGAGAGACGGAACGGACGACGACCCTTACTCGATGATGTAAAACAGACCCCACTATCACATGAACATCTGTCCAGCGTTCCTTGGAATTGTGATCTGACTTTGAGCTGGCGATCCTGATTTGTCCTAAGGTTCACCGTGGTCGGTTCCTGTTGTTCTTCATCATTCGAACAATCCAATCTATCATACCTTTTCCTTCTCGGTCAGCAGAATCCCCCCCTAAGAGCCTACGCGCGTAATCCTCGTATCTGTTAGAACTACTACACTTCACTACCCAATACCACAGCAACGGTCGTTCAGTCCACCGATGACCCGATCTACTGTTTCTATCCTGGGTGAGGCTGTGACGCCCGTTCACCATCTTGCCCCCCCCCCACCCCCCATCCTACTAACTCCCCCTTTCACAACATCCATGCGGCGCGACGTCCATCACTCTTGCGGCGCACCGACGCTGCCATCACAGATTGTCAATCTCATTCGAACTTAAGTCGTGATTGACACCAGAGATGTGTGCGTATGTGCGTGCGTGCGTGCCGTGCGTTGCGTGTATGTGTTTGCGCGCCCTCCCGTGCCGCCCGGGACACCGGAACCGGGAGGAGCATCAACCATCGTGAATCAGACCGTCCACAGTCCACACACCCATCCCACCGTGAGAAAGAGTTTCGGCCGCCGTTCTAGACCGCCCTGCCGCGACGGGAGGAAGATGGGGTGACCCCTCCAGCCCCCATATCTCCTCTCTCGAGCTCTAGATTCCACTGACAGTTGCCGGGAAGCAAGCTGCAAATGCAAAGCTCCTCCTTCTCCTCCTCTCCCGGGTTCCTTTGTACAAGGCACCCGAGATCCATCATCTTCAGCCCGCGTACCCGTCGGTTCCAACCACGGACGGACTCCCTCCATCTTACCTACGAATAGTGAGATACCCTTCTCACCTCTCCACCGGGCCACCGGGAGTGGATATATCGGCCGTTCCAGCACCTGTCTCGCTCGTCCGTGTGATGACAAAAAGGGGCCCCCTGTCGCCCATCGTCAACTCACTCAGCTTTCACAGGCTCACGTCCCCTTCACGTCCCTCCTCTCGGTTTCCCTAATGCGGAAATCCCGAGCCTTGGATCCATATTTCGAGATATCCTCTTTTTTGCCTCCCCCTCAGCTTCCGTCTCCTCTCCTTCTCCAAAAGACTTTCACGATCCGACCGAGTTTCCCACCATCCTGCGCCATCACCTTTCGCATTTCTCCTCCTCGGCGGAACCCCCAAAAATGCTTCAATCCACAATAACATCGCCCCTGGGGCCCCGACTGTGACTGTCCTGCAGCTATCCCGTCTTCCCCTCTCTTCCCGTTAAGCTGGATTCGGTACAGGATCCGACTGAAGGAATGGGCTTCGTTGCTTGAAACTGGGATCTAGGGGCCAGGATCCAGTCTATCACACTCCCTCTTGCGGCGTGGAACCCCTCACGACTCCAAATTATTTCTTGTCCAACTGATTCTTTGTCAAATTGTGTTAAATTTCTGCTCTGCCTCATGATCGTGATATCCATCACGCACTGGGAAGCCCTGCTCGAGGTTCCAGCCCAATGCTCCCGATCCACACACATGGCAATCTTGACTATCCGTGCCCCCTCGCACTTTTACAGCGGCGAAAACCCTGTCGACAACTCCTATCGGGGGCCCCTGGTGTGATGTACGCAAGGGAACGAAGAGGCATGTTTGTCCAGACCCTGGGAGGGAAGAGCTCTCTCCCAACGGTGGATCTTTTTTCTTCCCTGCGACTTTCTCCCAAATTCTAATTTCTTGCCTTCCACGATAAGATTTCTTACTACACAAACTCCACCAGGATTCCAGAACGCTGCTTGGGAGAATAAATGACCACCTCAGTCCAAGAATAAGATGAGACCTTCTTCGCCCGCCCGGTTGGTTATGGTCCACTTTTGTCGCGTCCCGTCCGAAACAGAGGCGGTATCGGGGCCATTTCGCGCTTCGTGTGTCCACAACTTCTATTTGCATCGCTGATGGCCCGGAAGTTGCAGCCGGACTAAACAGAAACTCTGTTTTACGGGCTGATCATTGATGATGTGGCCGAGCTACCTAAGCTTAGCACCAGCTTGACTAGGCAGGTAAGTGAAGTAAGTATCCGTAAGTGAGAAGCGTTGCAGTCTAGTCGACGGCGGATAACTCCGCGCCGAACCTCTTACCACACGTTTTCAAGTGCCATCCGGCATTGGACGATCTAGAACTCAGAGTTCAGCATGAAACGAGCGCTGTGCTGGGCAAATGGTCCAACATTATTTGGGGGCTATTTTATTCTGCTTCCCACCCGTTTTTAGCCGTCGGCATGCTGCATGACGACGGGTGAGATGCTGGCTTGCTGCGACGCAAAACTTTGATAACATGTCATCGGTGATTCGTGATGCTGCAGCAGTGTTGACTCGACAAAGCCAACTCAATGTGCCGTGATTCAGGGCAAGCTTTGCAATCTTGACACTGCAGTTAACATCGCATTCGACATGTGATGCTGTCATCTCAACAATTATCCGTTGACGCGTGGACCTTTCTCTGTCACACAGTCACGCCTGCAACCCGGACGGGCTTCAGTGACGCTGCCGCATCGTCAAGTCTTGGTTTCAAAAATAGCCGTAGGGCCGATATCAATGCTACCCACCGACAATCTGTGAAAACATGAGAACATCAAGGTACGAATTGCAAGACCGCAAGAAACGACTAGGGAGGTAGCCAAAACATGTCGCCGTGAAAAGCTTGACCGAGCTGTCCTGAGTCCTGACTCCTTCGTCGGTGACAAATGTTACCTTCCGTGATGGCTCGTCTAAGCCGGATGCAACACACCGTCATAGACGACCCCCACGCCGCTACGCCACGGGTCCGCGGCAACTTACCACACTCCCGGGCCCACCTGATATCAGGAACAATTATGCTTTTTTCCATTCTTCTCATACTTTCGTGCCTGGTAGTCTAGGACTCGGCAAGGGAGGGAAAAGTTCGATGCACCCCTTGAAGCATGATATTGGCAGCCGCCCTCATTTCGTTGCCAAGTTGGAAAAGTTGGTGTGCAGGGCATCGGCTACACCGTTCCAGTAAATCCAGTGGCATCAGTCGCCCTGGAAATGAAGCCATCGTGAAGTCCGCAACCAGTCACCCAACAGAGGTGGAAAAACGAAAACCGACATGTCACATTCGAGTCTTGCGGCAAATAACCCCCTTGCTGTCAGAGCTTAGAAAATCCCTCCCCCAGTAAGGTCGGGTTGTAAGACTAAGTAATCTCTCATCGCAGCCCAACCATACATGGACCCCTGGGGCCTGTCCCTTCCCATGAGGCTTGTTCACGATGGGCCATCGACGGTCCGTGTGCTGCTCAGAAAATTCGGGCGGATCCAGTTCGCAGGCAGGCCGCACGTGTGGATCGGATCGGGGAATTTCCTTCATTTCAGGGGCATCCATCGAACATTTTCCCGTGTTGATCGCCAACGACGGGAAGATGGTTATCGTCGGGAAACTTATGCCATGGCAACGGGGAGCTTGTAGTTGTTTTTGTATGTTGATCTCTCCAAGATTCTACTTCCGACTATCTGGCAGTTCTACTCTCAGTCCATGGCCCATAGTCTGGTTATAAGTGTGTTGGGTTGTGGTTAAATGCAACATCAAAAGCCTGCATTCTGATCTTCCACGATATTAATGTACGAAGAGTTGCACAAACAAAGCGTTCCCGATGAAGCTCGGTGCAAATTATTCATATTCAAGATTGCCCAAGTCTTTTCATTTCTGCACGAAGCGTGTCGAAGATTATTACAGAGAACCATGAGCCTTAAGAACAGTACGGACCTAGGTGCGATAGGTTTTGATCCATACTTAAGGTTGAGGACTAGGCACAGACTCAATTTCTTGGACATGCAAGACCGAATGAAGCATGAAAGATGCAAAAGACCCCCAGGACCTGTAGGACGGTATCGCCCTCGAGTAGTGCTCAAGGAACACCAAGTTTCCGAATTATTGATCACTGCATGTGTGTATGCAAGAAACCCGTCTTGTTTTTCTCTCTTCTGTCTCCTCATTAGTATTCACAGTCTCCCTTTCAGTTGGGCTTGAAAGCATGAAGAAGGAGAGCCGGTCGTGCTTGTGGAGTTCAAATTTGTTGGGTACGGAGTCGAGGTGGCGGAAACCCCGGTGCTAGTTCTAGAGCTATCTACGTTGGTAGTGACGGTAGATGAACTGGCTGATGTTGAGCTTGGTGAGGTGTTACTGCTGCTGGAGCTCGTAGAAGATGTTGGAGTGGAAGTGAATGATGAAGACGAAACGGTACCAGAGCTTGTGGAGGTTGTGGACTGGCTGTTTGAAGAGCTCGAAAGAGTAGTAGATGAAGAAGTTGAGGTGGTTAAGGTCTCAGTGCTGCTTGTACCGGAAACAGTCGAGCTACTTGTGTCGGTAGAGGTTAAGGAGGTGGAAGAGGTGGACGTGCTGCTCGTGTCGGAAGAGGTTGACGAAGTGGATGAAGTGGACGAGGAGGATGAACTTGAGGATGTTGACGAGCTTGAGGAGGTGGTCGCAACTATCGTACCGAAACCGTATACGTCAAACACCGCGCCGTTGGCGACCATGCCGCCACAGAAAGTGGTGGGAAGTCCGGGACACTGGAACGTGCAATTACTGTCTCTCGGTGGTGCCGCATAGGTAATACTGTTGACACCTACATTGCTACAGTAACACTTGCCCTGATATAGTGCGCCGAATGCCCGACTGTTGGACACGAAGCAGTTTTGTCGGCAGTAGACTGGACTGTTAACAAGTTGGTCCGAGACTAGGACGAAGGTCTGGAAAAAGTTTACAGGGATGCCACATCCGTTGTAGGTCGCGCCAGGGTAGGAGGCCTGGCTGGCTACGCTGACTGCCAGCCCGATGAATGCTGCGAACGAGGCCCTCATGGTGAAGTCGGTAGTCGAAGGCTCGCCTGCTTGAACATATGATATGGCCTTAGTTTCGTATGACAGAGAGAAACGTCGCTGGATGTGATGGGCGCTATGGCAGTCAAGTAGTAGGGGAGGAAGAACAGCAAGAATCAAAGATAGGAATTTAGTAACTAAAAGAGGAGGGAGGGGGCTTTTTAGCCGGAAGCTCGTACTCGAACGAAGTGAACCGGGCTGACACAAAATGTCTGAATATTCTGCCCTGCATATCGAGGATCATCAAAAAGAATGTAGTGACTCTTGCTTAAATGTCAAAGTTCCTGCAACTTAACATTAGCAGGGCTGAGGCAGACCGTGATACGCTTTCAAAGCATGTGACCAGCTGAATGATTTCGCATTCTTGGACGCCAAACAAGCTCTGTTGTCTTGGACCAATATCACATCGTGCAACGTCACTGGCAATCGGGCCAGCCACTATATTTGGGCGTGTCTTGGAGAGAGCCTGACTTAGATACCTTACTTGGTAAGCAGTGACCATGGCTGTACAAGTAACAAGAGATTCTCAGCTGAGTTCAATGACAACCAAGATGTTCTTCCTTGCCGCTGACGAAGTAAGATCCATGCGGACTTGCACTGGGAGGTAGCTGGTCAAATCGCCTTTGTGCAAGGAAGAATGGAAGCATGCACAGAGACTGAATCCAGGCTGACCTTCGCGCTGACGCTGTGAGGCCTCGATCTGCTGTGTGGGGTAGCGTACCCGTAGCGGGGCCGAGCCAGGCGCCGAACCGGACGGCGCAAGTGGGCCATTTCGGAGCGGCGCCGTTCATGAAATGATCCAACGACCTCTTACACCTTCTGCCTTCTTCTGCCTCCTTCTGCAGCCCGTTCGCTAGAGCAAAGCGGCTTCCTGACAGACGAAATTGAACTAAAATCGTGAGGAATGCACCAATCGAAGTTGTATCCAAGGAAACTGCCGCCCTGGCAACATCTTTTCCTTAATCAGGAATGCTTTCCAGCGCCCCTGTTTCATCTCCATCCTCGTCATATCGAAAGAATCAACCTTTCGATATGAACAATCACTATATCAGTCAAATAGAAAAGGAGAGAAGGGAGTAACGACAAAAATGACCTCTCCGCCCTTTCGCCTCCTCCCACCCATCTTCTCAATCTTTGACTCAGGCCTCGCCGAAACCGCAAACCTCCCCCTCTTCTACCTCTCCCACGACGCCGAACCCTCCGAGATAGACAATGCAATCGGCATCAACATCCACGCGGGCCCCTTCTCCACCGCCCCCATCATCGCGCACCTCACCCACCGCCTCGTCAGCCTGCCGGGCTAGAAGACCCGTCGCACGATGCGAGTCCACCTCGAACAACCCCAGTGTCCCCTACCGCGCCCCCACCGTCGAGAAAGTAACTCCAGCGACACCCCCAAGATCCTCCTCCACGAAGACCGCCGCTTACAAGGGAATGCTCAGGGCTTCCGCGCGCTACTAAGCCGCATCATCCGCGGGAAGAGGTATCAAGGCCTGTGGCGCTTCACAATGCGTCTTAGCGACCCTTGTTGGAGAGACTTGACGACCGATATCGACTTCGAATGGCGACATAGCCGAGGGTTGCTGATTCGGACTCTACGCCTGTCAGACGGGTGGCTGCTTTGGCGAAAACGCACGCCCGACGAAACCCGCATTCTGAAGGCCCCACGACAAACGCATCTCGGACAAAAGTACATCGGAAGGGGAGGCCATGCTAGATTAGATGAGGAGTTGGTCGCTATGATATCAATCGACCCTTCGCGACCGTACCTTGGTACAGGATTCCGATTCCTCAACTCTGCGGCCGTTCCCCCTGATACAGAAGAAACATCCTTCTTGAACGACGACTTTTCGTTGGTGGCAATTATGTCTGGCATCGGCATCATCTTGGGCGAAACCGAAACATTAGGCGGTGTCTTGACGTCAGAGGAAATACAGGCTTCACAGAGGCCTCACCTTAAGCGTGCCGCGTTGGTAGAGAAACACGCCCGCGAGGCAAAGGAGTGGCTCGCTACGCTGGATCTTATGGATGAAAACGACCACGACGATGAGCCGTCCCATCTGCTAAGGGCTGAGAAAGTGTCTCCATGGAGAGGCCTCCATGGGTCTGGAGCAGCCTTACGGGGAAGGGAGGGAGGCGTTGGCCAGACGAAAGGGTTCAAAGGAACAACATCTGCAGAACGCAGACAGCGCAGTCTGTCGGCGCCCGAAACCTCTTCGCGACGGAGGTCTTCACAGAAGAGTCTGAATCCTGAGCCGAATCGGAGACAAGTTTGGGAAAAGAGGCCGACTGTGTACGTGCCGATGAGAAGGGAGAGGACTGCCAACGCGTCTGCGGCAACGAGACGGACTACACCTTTACGGTCTTCACAGAGAAGCTCATATGGGGATCGAGACCCGACGAGTCCGGGTGTTGTCTTGGCGCAAGGAATGACAAGGATTGATTGAGTCAGAAAGATCAAGGAATAGAGCGTGTCGCGTTTTCAGAGGGGGACGGATGGTTCGGAGACAGGGTGTTCGCAAACATGCCTGGTTTGGTGACACTGCGACTGACCTCTTAGTTTGTCTAGATGGTTTTAGCAGCACAGAGAGAAGTGGCGTTAGAACAACATTTCCAGCAGTAGTCCTTCAAGGCATTGATACAAGGTATAATGTTACCCCGTGGAACAAGAACTGGGTTATCTTCAGGCTTCTTGCGAAGTCAGTGATGATGAAGGCAGGACTCCTTTTTCGCCTCCCGGTCCTGCTTAGACATTCTCCAGTGTTAACACTAGTAGAGATTGTACCGTCGATAGAGACGAAAACATTGAGGCTACCAGACCTAGGCTCACGCGATGACACAATTGGTGTCCAGTCTCTCATACCTACGACCATTGAGAGATGAACACCGAGAGCAGGCCCAGACTCCTCAAGACTCAAAGAGGGCAATACCTTCTTCGGGAATGATCCGCTACTTAGTGTCACAGCCATCGACAAGCTGGCTTCAAGAACACGAGTACGCAATTTCCATCCAAAGCTACTTAGCAAGAATTTTTTTCGACGCCCTAATCAAGAATCATTACTATGGCCATTTCGAGCACTAGGGTCACAGGGTGTGAGAAACAAGAGATGACTCTGTCGAGGTAATGATAGATAGTCCCATGAGAAGCAACGACATGCATGGATGCGTTATTTTCCACTATAGAACCTCGAAGCGAGTACAAGAAGGTGGCGAAGTCTTTCAGGTGAACTACATCCGCAAGACTGGGCGACCCCATTCCCAAACGAAAACATACCGGAGAAGCTCCAGTCCAGCTAAGAAAAAGCTCAAATCATGACCCCCTTTGTAGCCCTCGCTTACCGTCGCGATCACTTTCTAAGGGGAAAAGAGAGAGGCGGACCATCATTAGCCGAATCGAAGACGATGGTAGCCCTCCGGAAGAATCCGAAGACCTTGATACTCGACCCTTCGCAACATGCAAAGCGAAAGAACCGAGACACTTGCTGGACGAACGATGTCGTCTGTTGCCAAGTGGTCGAGTAAAGTTGTGAAATATCAGAACCCAACACAAAGAATGGGGGTGCCCAGCATCACGTCAAATGTGCTGCATAAGATCCATAAGATACCTACACAGCCCCAAGACTCATTCGTCGACATCGTAAGATGCCAAGGCAGAATTTATCAAGCCAAGGTTCAGTATGGAAATTTTCAACTTCGTTTCTTGCTTTCCGCGCTTGCCAGTGTGGATTTTGGCCTTTGTCGAATGTCGCTGAGTTAGACGTGATCTCAAACCCCGCACTGATGGATGAAAGACGTGCAGCAGAAGGGGGGGCAATCTCCGTATGTCCCCGGATCTGCAGGAACTTACAAGATCCCCAGAATCTTAGAGTGAGCAAAGGGATCCATCGACCGTCATAATTCGGAATAGAGAGAAAGCCTCAGCATGCAGCCGACGGTCGTCAATGATGGTGCTTGGCCTCAAGCCGCCACCACCGGAGGCATGGCAGCCTTGCCCTAGCTGGGGGCCACGAAGAAGTTCCGGAACGAATAGCTGACCCAGGAAGAAAGCCGATCGACAGGCGGGCGTTCGGTAGGCTAGCGGCTCGAGGGGAAGGTGGCATGTATGGTTGTATCCGTCGCCGGGGACGATTCAACCAAAGCTAAGCAAACAAGCTCCATGGTCGTGCCAATGGTGCGTAAGCCAAGTCGGTTGACCTCGAGGTTATCCCTCCATTAGCGGAGTCGCGATTCATGGCACAGCGCCTAGTAGTGTGCGAGGAATTCTCGTGGACGTCTTGTCACGTCTGCCGCCAAGCAGCAGGTAGCCGCTACGTTGTCGATGTTGAGCCAAGGAAAGGGGGAAAACGGGCTCGGGGCCTTGGCGTTTCTTGTATCTGGAGCTTGGGCTGCTTGTAAGATAGCTCGACCGGGGACCGCCACTTCGGACATGTCGGACCCCAACACACATTGTCCTGAAGCGAAACAGATGTACATACCAATATCGTTTTGTTTCTTGCTGCTGTCATCTAATCTTAGCAATCGCATGCCTTGCGAAGTACATGCGACGGACCCTGAATTTGTCAGAAACAAGCAGAGTGGGAGCCTCTTGTCGCAAGCTATTCCCAGCGTTGCAAGCAGCACGGACAGGGTGTCACAGGCCAGGCGTTCTCAAACGTGCGCTGCGGTTCGAAACATGCTAATAAGACCAACCTACCGGGCAAAATCCAGCGACAAATGTTGCAGTACCGATAGATACTATAGGCGAAGAGGTTGGGACTTGAGAGGCTAGTTGAAATATAATTCAAAAAAAAAAATATGAGCATGTGCGGTCTTTCCACGTTCTAGGCTTCTAGAAGTATTCTTAGTCTCGCCGGGGAAGCCTGTAGCTGTGAGACAGTGGCCGGAGCAGCGGGAGGCTCGTGGGCGGCCGGTTGGTTGGTGTCCACCAAGGTGCCTTGGCTTTATCTCTCGATATCGCCCGATTGGCCCGTAGCTACAGATATCGTGTTCTCTGCGCGACTTGCAGGTTTGAGAGGATCGGGGACTTTCAATTGCTACTGATAGGCAGATGGACAGCGTCGCAATAGGGCCTTGCGGCTCACCGCCGTTTGGGAGCAACGATTTTGAATGATTCGGACAAAGTTCACGGCGGGATCTTGAGTTTCTCGGTGCGCATCTCCCATGGTATGATAGCAGCCGGCGGGCACGGTAGTATTCCAAGGACTCGGGGTAGCACGCCGCGGCAGCACGCCGGAGCAGAGGCCAGAAGGCTGGAAAAGGATCTCGAAACACTCGGGAGATGTGCTTGCAGATGTTTTGCCTCATTGCGGCAAGGATTAGAATGCGCGCCGGAGCATAGTCAAGTGGTGGGTGGTGACGAATGTGGAGTGATGAGAGGATACACTGGTGCACCACTGCACACAGGCGCCTGCATGGCCACCCAGTGTTGTTGAGGTTGCGAAAAGGGCCCGGTTTGGCGAGGATGATGGATCCGTTCTTCTCCGCAGAGGAATACTCGGGGTTTGGGGTTGAGGGGGGAAGCTGTCGTTGGAGAGGCGGGGAAGATGGGGGACGGGGAAGCAAAGTTCGGTCAAGAGACACTTTTGTGATCACGGACGGTCGATGTATGGTCGAGAAGCCCTCCCACGTTACGGCGAGGGACGGGCGTCTTTCCAGGTTGAGTCTAGACGAGGGGCGGGCAAGTCGAGGCGAATGGAGGGACGGCGGCCGGTGAGGTGAGGTGAGTGGTCAGCGGTGGTCGGAGAGGTCGAGTGCCGGGACAAGTCGCATCAGGCTATCAGCCTCTTGCGCTCCTGGAGCTGTCCAGGCAGGATTGTTCTGTGCGGTACATTAGCTTGGATGTTGCGACTGGGATGTGGGAGGAGTTTTGGCTGACTGGCGCTCCGTTGGCGGCAAGCAAGTCAGAGACAATGGCGTGGTTTCTGAGGGTACAATGTCTTGGCAAACGGTGCGATGTCGTGTGCTCGTGATAAGCCTTGGCCCGTGGATGGTTCAGTGGTGGTGATGGGTGGTGATGCCCAGCAGAGAGGACCCCTAGGTACGACGATGGAGCCTCCGTACCTTGGCCTTGGGCCATTTGACCCAGCATGACTCGACAAGAGGTGGATTGAAGAAAGGGCCCTGGCGGATGACTCCAGTCTTTGTTACTGCGTAGACGTGCTAGATGATAGATCAGAGATTTGACATCTGGAGACCGGGGAAACAGAGATTGGGGAAATCTGCCCGTGGGGAACGGTGGTGCAGAGGATGAGAGGGGGCGAATACGGAGGATGCCATTGGCAGAAGTGGTGAAGTTGTGAGAAAAAGACTCGGAAGATGGCCGAATATTTGAGTGCTAGAGGAGGGGAAGAGCGGAGACTTTGGCGCTATCGGTGTTGCCCCCGACGGAGGGAGGACCCGGTTGTCCCCGGTCGTGCCTTCCCAAGAACCGTCTTTTTGGTCATTTCCTCACGAGCACACGGGGAAAGCACGCAGCAAGGTAGGTACGAAGTATCGAGACACGGTGGAGAGAATCAGCTAGTGACAGTGGGGGTGGGACTGGTTCCGACGGACTGTCCAACTAGACGTCCACGAGTATCGTGTTCTTGCCAGGAATGCGCAGGTAATACGGATGCCCGCAGACCAGTTGACAGTTTCGACGGACCATCTTGGGGCCCCGACTTGAGAACCTCTGGGGAATTGAATGGGTCGCGGGGATGAAGAAGTATGGATAGTTGGGGCTGGTGGACACTCACTTGCACCAACTTATTCGTAGCTTGCCATTTGCTTGGGTTGCAAGTTGCAACGCTTACACGACCATTGGAGGCCATTGGAGGATACCAGTGCGCGAATTTCCTCGAAAGTTGTTATTTGTATTTTTCCCTCCACCATCATCTATGATACGATTCTCATTGGCCAAGAGATCATACAGAGATGAGAGACATTCCTTCTTTCCATTAGTCGGTAGTAATACGGATGGTGCTAAAATGTTAGCATCAGGCCACAACGCCCGTTAAGCTTATTTCCCCGTTCCCCCATCATACTCATCTTGTACGGTGGGACGGACGCTGGCTCGCTGCTAGTGCATTGGGCATTACCCATCAGTGCGGGATCGGCTATCTGCTACTCCAATGGGGGATTGTCTGGGGAAAATCTGTTCGCGAGCTGTCAGACGTGTCAGATGTGGTTCGTTTGATCTTGCGAACCGCTCTGCTGGAATCAGCGAAGCGACCTCACGATATCTGAACCTCATCTCATTGATGTTGATAATTGTCGTCGGCGTCGTTGAGTGCGGCGACAATTTACTCAACTCCCTCGCAGCGCCGAGCAACTTGGCGTGGCGGGATGGCTTGCCGAGAAGGACACAAGCACTTTCTTGGCAGAGTCATCGCCCGTTGGGTCTTGGCCTACGTCTGGTGAGCGTGGCCCATCCTTGCCTGCCTGCCTGCCTGCGCTCTTTTTCTACGCTTGCGATTTGTGGTGTTGGTGTTGGCATTGGCGTTGGCGATTTTGATGTTGCTTGTTCCCCCCCTCTCGCAAGTTGCAGCCAGGTGGCGGTAGTAGTGCGAGGCATGGAAGAAGCATAATTCACGAGAGGTGCTTTCTGGCGCGAAGAAGGTCCAATCAAGAAACCCGGTGTGTGTGACTTCCTCGACTGCTTATTATGTACGTATCTAGGTACCTTGGTGGACGGAATGTCGAGTCTTCTGGCGCTCCTTCTGGAAGGCAGCGACCGATCGAAGAAGGAAGGAAGAGGAGTCACGGGACAACAGAGATGGCGCGCTTTCCTTGTCTCGCGCTCCCTTAGGTTCAGGTCCCAGCTGGACCGGGAAGGAACTCTGATCATTGTGAGAACGGAAGGACAAGAATGAAGGCAGGCGTGATCGTGACTTGGTGGATCACCTCACTGAGTGCCTGCCTTCGTCTCTTTCTTCGTTCTTTCCCACATAGGTACCTATCTCATCTAACCTGACATCAGATACTGGGACAGTACGTACCTCTGGTCTCCCGTCATGAATGTCTGACTCTGACTTTTCTTCCCCCTCTCTTCTCCCACACACACCTTTTCCCTCCCGCTCCATTGAAGGATTCGGCCGTGATGCAACATGGCTCAATCGCCCCCATCCAACACTCCACAGACCAAACCCCAACACAGACAGCCAAGACCTCCTGGACGTGTGAGGCGCAAACTTTTTTTGTCCTCGCTCCAACTTAACCCTTTTTTGCGGCCCTGACTAAGGTAACTTTTGATTTGTTTCTTCCCGGCTCCGTTCGGCGTTGGTTCTCACTTCTCGCAGTGCACACTATCGCCGCAATCGAACCCCCGTTGCTATTCCTAGCGTTCCAATCTGCTCGTTCTTGGCCTCAAATCCATCCATTTCTTACACTGCTCCGACAGCGCAACAACACAGCTATCGCCACCCTGCGACGGAGCCATTCAACATTGCATCGCGACAAAGGCCGCCCATGATAGAGTCATCGAGGGTCGTTTTTCGACGGGTCTATTTCCTGCCATTCGTTTCACCGTTTCCTATTCTGGTCTGCCACAGCGCAACCTGCACCACGCTCGAAACCACAGTATACAGATACCAAGACAAGAGAGATGGAGCCGTGTGACACGTTTTGTGCAACCAAAATGAGCCCACCGTCTTAGTCTCCAAGCATACCAACCCGAAATGAAGTTCACTCATGGAGACAAGAGGGTGTTCGGCCGGCGACTCCCAGTGGATTCGATATGCTGTGCGTTAACTTGGATCCCGCCTCATATCGCATCTCACTTTGCCGCACTTGGACATGCCGGGAGACGGACGCTTGACCCATGGACCATGGTTCATCATTACAAACGCCAACCAACCTCTTCCCCATCCAGATCCCTTCACCCTGCTGCTCGCCAGTACCTAGCTGAGAAACCGCCGTGCGGCGTGCCTCATGCTGCATGGGGTGATCCATCATGTGCCGGAGTGAAGGCCGTCTCCCGCACGCGTGGAATTCCGTAGTGGGCATAGACAATACGCAGGCTACGCTTCTCTCCCTTGCCAACGAACGCCATCGTATGCAATATCCCAACATGGTCCGCGCCCTCGTAATCCTCGTGGTCCCTAGGTCTCCCTAGCACGCCTAGCTCACCCTCGGGACCGTAGTTTAGCTCGCCAACCACCATATGCATGGGCATGGAACATACACCCTGGTCTCCTCGACCCCTTGTCTCTTGTCTGCCGCCGTCTTTCTCGTGCTAGGTACTTGCAAGTTGCATGGTATCCGTATCGAGGCACGCTCTTCTACTCTCCCCGCTAGAAAGCTCTAGCTGCCATCTAGCAAATCTAGCTCCCATGCAGGATCCCTCTGGCCTGGTCTCCTCACCACGCTGGGCTCTTCCTGTCCTCCTCCCCCGACGCCGACCCCGCATCATCGACTCCGACCTCCCCACGCATCCATCAGAAACAGTTCTGGCCTCCATTGGCTAGCCTGCCCGCACTAATCATCACGCTTCACTGCAGCGTTCCATCATGGGAGATGATCGCTTTCGAAACCGTGAGCATGTCGGTGCCATCCCGGTCACCCTGGATCTCAACACCGGTGCTCTTTGTTTTTGTCTCTCTCTTCCTTCGAAACCACCTTATCCACTTGCTGCATGTTGGTGAACTCTTGGCACCGAGACGATGGACGGTCTGATGATTCGCCAACCTGCATGGCAATCAACGGCTTGCCCAACTATATGAAGAACCTTTATGTCCCCCTCTTCATCCCATTTGGTTGATCTCAATCAGTCGTGCCTCATCCTCTCATCTCTTCTTCCTCCTTTACCTATCCCTTGATCACCAACATCATCTTCTACCACCTAAGTCACTCATATACTTGAACGTGTCTTAGAGAGTTAGCAAACGCAGACAAACATCCACCATGTCGACGTCGACTGCGCAGCCCGCCGACCCCGTCGCCAAGGGCGTGCTGGCCACGGCTAAGCAAGCCTGGAAGGACCTCTTCATCTGGAGACAGCGCACCGTCGTTGTTAGCCCAACTGGCGAAACACACACAGAATGGCAAGATCCCGACCCAATCAAGAACCCCATCAGCTTGATGGCCCAGCTGAGCCCTCGCGACTGGCTCTTCTTCCTCTGCGGTTTCTGCGCCTGGACGGCCGATGCCTTTGACTTCCACGCCTTGTCTATCCAGACCACTAAGCTGGCCAAGTACTACGACCGGTCAAAGACAGATATCACTACTGCCATCACCTTGACTCTGCTTCTCCGTTCCGTCGGCGCCGCCTGCTTCGGCCTGGCTGGTGACAAGTATGGTCGCAAGTGGCCCATGGTTGCCAACATGATCATCCTCGGTCTTTTGCAGATCGCCACCATCTACAGCAAGACTTTCCAGCAATTCTTGGCTGTGCGCAGCTTATTCGGTCTCTTCATGGGAGGTGTCTACGGCAACGCCATTGCCATGGCCCTTGAGCACTGCCCGTAAGTTATTCAAACCTCCAGAGTCTGTCAACTGCTCGCTAACACATTACTCTCAGCTCCAACGCTCGTGGTTTGATGTCCGGAATCCTTCAACAGGGATACTCATTCGGTTACGTCCTCGCCGCTTGCGCCAACCTCGGTGTCGGCGGTGGCGTTGAGACCTGGAAGACGGTCTTCTGGATCGCCGCCGGTATCTCCATCGCTGTCGGTCTCGTCCGTATTGCTTTCCCCGAATCCCAGCAGTTCCTCGAGGCCAAGGCCCACGGAAAGAAGTCGGCTTCGCCCGGCGCCTTCTGGAGGGAGACCAAGAAGATGCTGGCCCAGGAGTGGAAGATGTGCGTCTACTGCATCATCCTCATGACCTGGTTCAACTACTACTCCCACACGTCGCAAGATTCGTACACCACATTCATGATTGCCCAGAAGGAGATGGACAACGCTGGTGCTTCCCGCGCCTCCATTCTCATGAAGGCCGGTGCCTGCGTTGGTGGCACCATCATCGGCTACCTGTCTCAGTTCGTTGGTCGTCGCCGCGCCATCATCGTCTCGGCTCTCATCTCTGCCTGCCTTATCCCCGCCTGGATTCTCCCCCAGGGCGAGCGCAGCCTGAGTGCTAGCGGTTTCTTCATGCAGTTCTTCGTCCAGGGTGCCTGGGGTGTCATTCCCATTCACCTTAACGAGCTGTCGCCCCCGGCCTTCCGCTCCTCTTTCCCCGGTATCACCTACCAGCTGGGTAACATGATCTCGTCTCCTTCGGCACAGATTGTTAATGCCATCTCCGAGAAGACGTTTGTCACCGCTCCCTCAGGCCACAGCGTCGAGGCCTACGGACCCGTCATGGGTATTGCCACGGCCATCATCGCCATGGGCATCGTCGTCACCACCATGTTCGGACCCGAGCGTCGCGGCCGCAGCTTCGAGCACGCCGTCGCTGGTGTACAGGGCGAGGCCGTCGAGACCAAGGAGATTGACGATCATGACGAGGAGAAGGGCAGTATCAGGGCCTCCAACGTCGAGGACACACGCAAGGAGTAAGATCGGTCGCTGCCGGGCTCAGCGATAGACATACAATACTAGGAATGTTTTGGAATTTTGGTACATAGGTACAGGGAGGAGGCCAGGCATAGGCCTCCAGTGGCTGTGATGCCATATACAATACCCCATGGGAAGCGCCCCGACGCGAATGAATGAAAATTAAGATTGATACCACTTTCAAAAAGCCCCCCTGTCTTACTGCACTCGGCCGTGACAATCAACAAATGTGTGCGACATCATGTTTCACATCACGACATTTCTGCTCGTGTGGACAAGCTTTCCGCCAAGCCGTTGGGTAAGTATCGGCGTTGCTGGGCATCGAAGCTTGCGAGTGCTTGTCACGAGCAGTGGGGCGTGATGTCTCTGACCTTTTTGCTTTCCCATTTCAGGGAAATTAGTCATCGGAAGTGCTAGGCCTGATGGAGGCCGAACCGGTCCAGACCAATGCCCGCCTGACGGGACCCACCATCCCGCCTCCAACAGTAACCGGCGGTCGGCAAACGGCGGAGAGAGATGGACTGTTCTGAGGTCGAACGCATTTGGGGGTCACTTAACAGGTCTACAGGAACTCAGACTGGATTCTCTTACGAGGAAACGGAAGGTCGATGATGAAAGATCCAGTTTTTCTAACATTTGGCTGTTGAGAAATCACAACAATCGAAACCCCAGATCTATTCTCATAGCGAGATCTGTTCTCACAACGCTTCCTTTCCCCGACATCTCCAGACTCCTCCACTTTCTCTGCAGAGCCTTCAGGCTTCTCCATATGGGTTTCGGTCTGTGCGTTGAGACATTTGCAATCAGCTGTGCCCGATGTTGGAACTTGGACGCACCTCGTAGGCTCGTACGATGCAATGTGGGCGAAAAGTTGGAATGTCGCGATGGGGCCGGTTCACCGTTCCACGAGGTACCGTTTAATTGGCGTCCCGTTGTGGAGGTTGGTCCGCTTTACTAGTTCTTGCTCCGCCTTGCTCCAGATTTCTCCAAGAGTTTTTTCAATGGGGGCCAACTCCACTTGTGGTCCTTTTCCCCCTCATTACCCTGGACAAGCAGAGAGATGTTTTGTTCGGACTCGCTCCAGTAGTTTTTGGGTGATGGAAATTTCACATGGTCCCAGACCCTGACTTGTATCAACTTTTGTCTAAGTCGAGGTTGATATGGGTGAGTGGATCTGGGGGGAGGACGCGTGCACACGGCGCGGAGAGAACACCGATCCTTTCTTCCAGCCCAAGGGTGCTGGACGTGGGGTAATCAGTCAGTCAGGCGATTGATGGATACGTGAGGTTGAAAAAGATTTTTTCTTTTTGAGAGATTTTGATTTGACTCCATCGCGAACCCGAGGACTTGGCAACCTCCCCATTTTTTCCATCGATTCCCTCTTCTGGGATCTAAGTTTCCCTTCTTGTGAGGTTGTTCCTCGGATGTTGTCCGTCCCGCCCAGGCACTAGTGTCGCATCCTGGTTTGCCTTGTATGTAGTTATGTACATCTGCGGCGCAGGAATTTTGTCTTCCGGGTTGAGTGAGCTTACGGATATTTATTGACGGGTTGGACACGCCGTACTCCTTCCCGCCGTCCGGGGCTACTCAGGTGTGCTGCGCCGCTGGGTCGATGTCCGGTTTGGCGACTTGTACTGCGCTTCTGGTTTGAGCCTCTAAGCTAGCCGGCGGTGGTCTGATTCCGGGGTCCGGACGAGCGGGACGGGGAGGAATGGCTTGATAGCCAGATTCGGGAACGTCCTCGGCATTGAGCTGGGTCTAAGTCTCTCTGTCGACTAGACAAATGTAAATTTGCTGGTCGAAACGTGAGTGAGATGTCGCGATGGAATTTGAAGTTGCGGAAGGCGAGATACTGTATTCTCTCAATCTGCAACAGTAACAGTGAAGAAAGGCCCCTTGAAGTAATATTCATCATTGTCGACCTATTCGGAGGAATTACCATGTACATGAATTGCTTGAGGGTGCCCTCTTTTCGTAAGCAGCAATCGATGCTTGCTCTACTGGAAAATAGCCTGACCAATACCTATCGCAGCTTGCGCCGCCTCGAACCCGGTTTGGTAAATGTTCCCGTCTTCCATATCTTCCACCGCCTGCGCTGCAGCTGGGGTTCCTGGCGATTTGACTGCCACGAAGTAGTTTGTTCGCACGACATAAGACGTCATGTTGGCCAACTCGCCCAAGAAAGCCGCCGCCTGGTCCGCACTCAGTTTAGCGGAGGCGAGCTCGCTCAGGTGTACCGCCGTGATTGCTGCCGCTGGGAAGACGAGTATACTATCAACATAAGCCGCTGTAGCCCGAGGGTCGTTGACCCTCAGGGCATTGCCGGCCGGGATGATGTGTTCCTGGCCAATATCGCTGAAGACGATGATATTGGCCAAACCGATAGCCGTGATCAGATCCGACAAAGAAGCGAGGTCCTCGTCTTGAATAGGGTCTTTAGGGGCGTAAGAATCGGCGGTAGACAAGGCGGCGGTGCTGACAAGTGCCATGGTCGTCGAAATATTGCCCCACGGGTTATATATACCTGCTGGAATAACAACTTCCAAGGGGGTGACCCATATTGCCAGGAAGCTCATGGCCCCGGCGGCGATATGGCACAGAGAGTACTTTAACTGATCCTTTTTGGAGGTCACTGGCTTGGTGGATCCAGGGGTCGTGGGTACCGTGCTGGCTGCGCTCACTGAGTCGGAGGAGGAGATGGAAGTCACAGAGGCCTGTCCCTTGTGCCCCTTGACTTGTTGCTGGCGGTCTTTGAGGGTCTCAGAAGAAGTGATGGCGGATGTTGTCATGATGGCACTCTCCTGCATAACCTCCGAATTACCAGCAACAAAACCTGCTTGAAGAGCGACATCATCGGCAGTGAAGGGGGCCTCCTGGGTAGCAAGCTTGTAGATCACCGTGAAGGACATGGCGGGGATCCAGCATACCAAATCAAGATAGGATATGTCTGGTATGCTAATTTCGTTGAGAAGATCGGAAATGACTGGGATGTGGATCTTGACATCCAAGAGGCCGACGGCGTCACCGAGAAGATCGATCAGGACATTGAGTAGGGCGTCTACAACCACTTTAACGCTGGATAGCACGCCCACAGCGATGATCCCAAGCAGATCCTTCAGGATCTCTTCAACGGTCATGGAAGAGAAGCGCTTGGCCAGGTCCTTGAGCTGAGACACCACTGCTGAAAGAGCTTCTTCCTCGTGGTCCAGCGCGGCTAGGAGGTCGTCAATGACCCCTGATTGCGGCTTCTTCGTTGTTGGCGGCACCCCTACGACTGTCATGTTGGCGCTGTGGTGCTTGAAATGGGTCATCATCATCTGAGACCCCGAAGTATGTCCCTTTGTAGGATTCGTGGCACTTGCGGCTGCGGGCTTTGAAGCCTTGTCCCCGAGCGACGGTCCCAAATCAGGGATGCCAGCCCATGTCCTGATGCTACTCTCCGCGTGCGCAATCTGCGCATCGAACTCTGTCTTTGCAGTCGGGAGATAGTCAATCTGGTCGCGCAGCCACTGCTTCGTCATATTGCAGAGGACGTCTTTGGTCCGCTTGATGTCGTCCCAGCTGTAGAGGAACTCCACAAAGGATGTGAGCTTCTCAATGCCCGTCTTGACGGCATTAAAGATCCACTCCGCAGCCCCAACGACGGCTTCGACCGAGGTAAGTGCCGCTCGGTAGACTTTGCCGGAGATAGTGGCCACAAAGTGCCACGCTTCACTCGCGTCGTCTTTGATGATATCGATAACGTTTTCGATATCTGACTTGAGCCAGCGGAAGAGGTCGCCGGCTGCGATGGCTGTATCGTGTGCGAGGTTATCGACCGATGATGAGGATGCGTAGAGGGCGTGTGGAATCACGCTCAGGCAAGAAGTAGAGGAGACGGTGGGTTTGAGGAGTCCATAAGTCGTGCCGAGTTTGCCGAGACTGTTCGCGGCGTTGGCCCTATCAGACTGCGATACACTTCCTTCTACAAGAGCGGCCCATGTCGTGTTGTCCCTGATGCCGCCAGCGACCGTCCGCGTAGGGACTTTGGCGTCTCGAAGGGCTCCCTCGCTGCTGAGCGCGGCTATGCTTTTGAATGACTTCTCCATAGGATTTATGGTAGCCTCTGCATCTCCGTCATTACAGATCACTGTCATGATAGTGCCGTTGATGCGATCCTGAAGCGCCTCGACGACGGTCAAGCTCCCAGTTGCATCCACAGCCACCTTGATGGGTGCCTGCCCAAGGACGTAGTAAGTCCCATTCATGTAGACGGGCGTGCGTGAATTGGTAGATATTGACAAAGTGACACCCGGAGCTGGTAGATCGTATTTATCGAGGACCTGGATCGTAGTCGTGTATGACTTGAATTGGAGCGGTTTCGCTGTAGACTTCCCGGCCTGAAGCTTGATATCGTCCGCAACCCAAATCTTGGCTTCGGTGCCGGTGGCCTGCGTCAACCTTTCAAGCTTACCGGACCCGGAAGTGAAGATGGCTTTGCCTCCATCTCTGCGGTTGAGGTACGGAGTCATCCGCTCAACGCCAAACAAAATGGGTACAGGCACACTCCATGCCTCCGGAGAACCGAGCTGACTGGAGGGGCAAGAGAGGCAAAATACCTCATCGTTGGCATTTTTGCCCCAGATCGTTGTCACGCCATCACGAGTCATAGCCGCCATCTCCGAGGTGCCCGATAGTACCTTATTGTTGAGCAAGGGCTTGCCGACGGATAAATCCGTTTGGCCTTCCGCTGGGAAGTAGTACAGGACCGAGTCACCGACCGCGAACAGGTCTGTCGTCCCGTCGGGAGACGCGAGTGAGCCTGGCCTGCGAGCAGCGGCGATGGCGGATGCCCCCACGTTCTGTGGTAGGCTGAGACGTGATGGTGCTGGAGGGCCATCGCCGAATGCGTTCTCAATGGGGACGTAGACAAGCTGGGCTGAGCCGCCGGAAGATCCACAGGTGTATACCCCGTCCACGAATCCACGAGCGACTCTACCCACGCAGCTCTGATATTGGCCCCCCTCGATATCGACTGGCACATCATGCGATGACCAGAATCTACCAGATGTCTTCTGAGGGTCGACGTAGTAACGAGCAATGTTCTTGTGCTCATTAGACGATGAGCGATCCACGTCGACGATGATTTGCTGCCGACTGCCTTCCGGCTCTGCGAACATGACACGGAGGATGTTGACAGTGTGTCCGGGCGCCATATCCTCGCTCACATCGAATGGAATAGCAGACCAAGTTGGCTTCTCTGTCCAGGATGTATCCGAGCTGGAGTTGAAAAGGGACAGGAACAGTTGGTCGGCACCCCCCTCCGATACTACCAGAGCCATCCCTATAGTTCCATCCGTGACGCTTTGTCCAACGTCAAAAGTGCGTACCAACTGAGAAGGAAGCGAGAGATTCTCCCGAACCCAACCTGTCTTGGTCGTGCCACTCTGTTCCATGATCACTTGCAGGACGTTGTCCATGCCGAGGGCAAATAGCAACGAATGGCCGTCGTCAGTCTGTAGAGCTTCAAACTTCGCAGTAGGAGCCACAATCTCTCCCTGGATGTAGTTCTGGATCAGATCTGTCGTGTGTGTCATTGAGTGTAGCGACGGGCTGGTTGCTCCAGGATGCTTTGGCGCAGTTCCAACCCCGATCTCAGTCGGGGCCTTGGCCCATGACGAATCGGCGTCTGGGACTACTGTTTGAGGCGGCGGCTGGGAAGATTTGGTCGGCGCTGCATAAGTAATGTCACAGACCAAGTCCTGATGGTCAGAAAACTTGGCGGACGTGTACGTAAACACCTTGCCACCCGGAAATACGAAATTTTGGGGGGTAGGGAAGTCGATGCTCTGTAAATCTACGCTGACAAGACCTTGGATCTGATTCTTGATCTGATTGACAGCGTCGTTGACGCCCGAAAATGCATTTGCTAGGTAGCCGGCATCAGGGGACTGAGATTTGTCGTCTGTGTGGTGCTTGTTGCTGTCGCGCATGATGTTCAAACGGCCAGTCTGGTCCACGGATAAGTCGTACGTGTCGGTGATAGTGAAGTCGTAACCATTCAGTGGTGCCTGATAGACACCCTCGCACGTTGCTGATATAATGATCCACATGTGCTGAGTGATGTAGATGTTTGTGCCGTCGACGAAAACCTCGCAGGTGTAGTGTGGTTCAACTCTCAACGTGTCAGAGTACACAGTTTCCGAATTCGATGCTTCGATTCCCGCGTCGCCGGCGGAGGACCAAGTGATGTTGATGATCCACGAGTTTTGGTCAGGGTTGCGGACTTCAGTGATTTGTGGATGCTGATTTGGGAAGAACTTCAAATCCGGCTGCCAATCCCCACCCCACCAATCCGTAAATGTGATCCCGACCTTCGAAGTGAGGCAAGATTTCATCGCAGACGGTAAGATAGTCTGCATCAACTGCTCGGCAAACACGCTCCGCTTGATAGCAATGATGCCACTCTCGTTTTGCAACTGACTGGGTAGAATCCAGTTCCAGTACGGTTCCGAAACTGCCGGGGCTCCGTGACCGTCCGTCATACACAGGTAGTTGAGTGTTGTCACAGCGGACTCTTGGGGATTGGGGTTGTTGACAACGACACCATTAAGCTTGTATGGGCTGATACCCAGCTCAAAGGACGTCATACGGAGCTGAGAGAGGTCTGAATTATTTTGAGAGACAGCTGAGACTGCAAGGACTGGCTGCCCGTAGTTTTTGGTGGCCTTGGTGTAAATTTTGACGAAGTTCTCCTGCAAGATGGCAAGTACGTGAGATTCAGCCGGGATTCCAACGAAATCAAGCGCGCTGTGCATTGCGGCGTTCTCCAGGTCCAAGAGAGTTTGTTGAAGACTGAACGTTGTGTTGGCAGACAAGCTGTCAATCTGGGCCTTGAGATTTTCTTTGAGCTCCGGGTGCTGATTAAAATAGGGCGACTCGAGGTTCCTGTCGAGGCCGGAATTGAGAAGGTCGACGGCCGTCTCGATGTACCACGGAGACCCAGAAGGCTGAACCCAGACATTCCAAGTCCCTTTAGAGGTCTTTCCATCGCTTGGGGTGTTCTGGATGACCTGGAACTCGGAGCAGAACATCCTGAAGAGAGACTTGCCGTTGATCTTCCCCAGCTCCAGAACTGGCGGAAGCTGCTTGGGCATCTTCCCTGGGGGCACCCCGATACGGATTTTCACCCCGACCGCGAAGTTGTTCCGGGTAAGCGTCTGTACTCGAGGGTCATCTGCCGGCGTGCCGTCTGGAATCTCGAACGGGTTGACTCGGTCTGTCCTCTTGAGTAGCTCGTCGAGGCTGATAGTATTTGTGGCCTTGTTGGATTTTGGATCCTGAGACGGTCAGTATCATAATTTCGCTCGATGTGTATATCGGAGTAGCGGGATATGATCACCACTGGACCCAGTGGTGGGTGATAGGTTGAAAACGGATGGTTTCAAAGTATGCATACCAATAGATAGCACACATGATGAACTGGCTGATTGCTCTCGCAGAGGTACTCGAGCAAGTCTGAGTTGATACTAGCCTGCGTTGTAGAGACTACGAAATCGTATCCGTATCTGGAGTCCGTGAGGTTGGAGTTGCTTGCGTCCATTTTGAAAACTCGAGTTAGTTGAAGAGAAGGTCGAAAAGTTACGTGAAATACTTGCGGTGAGACATAGAAATCTCTGTGAGTGCTTGTTCATGGCGTAAGGGAACCCGTCACATTATATCCCTTGAACATCACCTTCCTCGTAGCAATCTGCCACATTCGTCAAGCTCTCATGGCTTGCATATCACCACCTATGCAGTTGCCACCAGCAAAAACCAGATTCGCTGTCCATCACTCGGTCGTAAATAGCCCCTTGCACCGATTTGGCTTGGATGTTCACTCATCCCGACTAGCGAGTTCAGCTCTGATAGCCACAAACTTAAACTTGCCCATAGCTCGCCACCAACGTCTCCTTCCGAATCTCAGATCGTCTAAGGTAGGTATGCAATGAAGCATACTGAGCTTTCATCGCACGGAAATTCTCCCTTTTCCCGACCAAACATTTGGTTTGTTATCAATTTGACTTCAACTGTCTGTTCGAAGCGATGCTACTGTGGATGCTCCAAATAGCAACATTCCACTTATTTGTGGCTGCCTTGATCATCTTCGGCCGGTAAGCAGCACATCGCAACAACGTGATACGAGCCACGTTGGCAGATACGGCTGTAAAAGTGCCTTCACTCTTTCGATGAGAAGCTTGCAACATCAAAGCTGCACTGAGGTTCGTGATGCGACTCAATCCCCATGGCATGGTACGCCCATTTTGCCACAGCAGATTCCCATGACGGCTTTCCCCGCATAACAAAGACATGTTAGACACTTTGAGGCGCCCGACGGGTTTAAGCTAGCCCCAAAAGCCTGGGGATATAGGTATCAATCATCTCTGAGAGCTGAAGGGACTGCTAAGACTGACTATTAGTCGCGTAGGTGGCAGACATTCGAGACAGCACCGCGCCTCTGCTTGTGTCTCGATTAGCACAACCTCGCTGCAGATGACTTGCGGTGAGACCTTCTCGACCGACGCCACATATCTGTAGTATACCTTAGCCATCTTGCCATTATTGTCTTATCTCCATAGTTTTGAGACGTCCACGGATGCATCTCATTGAGAGGCGGCCAGAGGAAATACCCCGCCCGCATGCCCAAATACGGAACAGTAGTTCTACCTCCACACAGACCTGGGCCATGGATAAGATACTCGCCATGCGGAAACAGCCGTGAAACCAGTCTATGACCCCGCAATGGCGATCGTTTGTTCTAGGTATATGTAAACATATTCACACGCACTTTGAAGCGCCTTCGCGCCATTGATCGACAAGCGCGCTCCAAGAAACCCTCAACGCCCGTTCAAACGACTGAAAGGACTCATCAGCCCATATTAGCTGCTTGGCAAACTTGATGATCCTGCCAATGGCTGTTTGAAGTAGGACAGAGAATGTGATTCGTTTTTGCTGGCATTATCGCCTCGTCTAAATCCTCATGACGTGTCCCCGTACGCCTTGTCCACTTAGTGTCTTAAGTACTTAATGGCCTCAGAAAGAGTAACTGCAAAGTATCGATCAACCGAATGCAATTCCAATGTCGATGAACTGTTCAATGTATCAGTCTGATGAGTTGAATGCCGCAAAATTTCCAAGCGTGGCTACGACATCCGTCCCAACAGCAAGTATTAGTTATCTGACAAAGTTTGAAGGAACCATCTCCCTTATGCTCCAAAATCCTACTTAGAGACACTATGTGTATAGCTGCTCTCCCTTATATTGGAATGCACCGAACGAATGATCTAGAGCATGGGCTATTCCACATAGTCGGCAAAGCTAGTTGTAATCATTTCACTTCCGGTCCCACAACAGAGCTCCATCTTACAGGGGGCTAGATATTACTCGTTAACCGAAACTCAAAGCGCTTCCAGGTACCGAAGTTCCACTGTTGACGATAAGGGTAAAGCCAGGTGAACTTGGAATCGAAATCAGTGTCGCAAACCTACTGGAAAGGTCTATGGTCAAAAGAGTCTCATGTGGCGCTTGCCCCCTCCATTTTCCCCTTCGATGGATGTACACGCGACTCTGGTCTCTCGAAGTTATTGACATCAATATCGACAGATTGCGATCCCCTTTCGGATACTGACCTTGGTCGAGAGCTCTTGTTACCTCAGAGGCTGCTATTTCGTTAACGAAAAATGTGAAATCAACGACTCGGCACAACCAGAGGAGGTGTTCTCCGTGGTCTGACCCCTTTGCCGTCGCCCGTCTTGGTTCTCGTGATAGATTGCGGCCGGGGCAGATGAACGGGCGCCCACAGCTGCGTGGGTCTACCGTCCTGATATTCGCCTTACTTTATATGTTCGTCGCTGTTACGAGTCATCGCTACGACGGAGATGCTCAGGCTTTGCCTGTCTGTGATCAGTTCCCGAAGCCGAGCTGAGCTAGCGGCTTCAGTTGATGGCGAGTTCGTTTTGAACATTAATTGTGGCCTACCGGTACAAAGCGCTACAGGTTTAAGGTTCAGGGTGGAACAGCAGAGTCATGCAGCGTGTCGTGACCCGGTGGGCGAAGTTCGTCCCGTCGGGAAAGCCTAATTAATCTGACACTGATCTTTACTCGTCTCAAGTCTATGAAGTACATTATTTTGAGGTGCCCAAAAGTTCGCTGAATTGACATGAAGTGCGTGCATGTTAACCGGCCAGGCCGCAGCCGCGGAAGTATAAGTAAGCTTAATCGCAACTCTTTTGAGATGGTGGGAGGAAAAGAAATTAGACTCGATAACGCACACATTGTCATTCGCTACATTCCATCCACCAACCAGTCATTATGAAGTTCATCCTTCTTCTCGCCTCCGCCGGAGCCGCTATGGCTTTCGTCGAGTGCCGTACGCCCTCAAATGCTGAGGTTGGTCCAGAGTCGACATTCTGTGCTCAGAGTTCCGTAACTGACTTTCATAGCTGTTCAACAACTGTCAGACTCAAGCACAGCGAGATGGTTGCAAAGGCCAGTGCATCAAGCACGTAGGTTACTCACTGAAAGCTACGACCGAGCATGTAACTAAACATCTCCTCAGTGCTCTGACACAACTGCCAACCTGGCTGTTTGCATCAAGTAGGTTTACCTCCACCCACTAGTTGATATTATCATGATTCTGATGAGTGTAACAGCAAGGCAAACAATGACTTTGACTGCGTCTGCGCAACCCAGGCTGGCAGAGGTCCCGGATTCAACTAAGATAATAGATGAGGGGTCGCATATCCGTAGTAGCGTGTATCGAGCACTGTGTGCCCTGCATTTAAGTCGAAATAAAATACTAGCCTTGGAAAAGCCACCTTGCTTCCCCATAACCCATTTTGCACTCAAGTCCATCATTAAAAGGACTTCAGGCGACAACCGATTTTGGAGAGAGATGCGTTTTCTTTGTCCCCTTGGAACTTACATATTCCTGAGCCTAACTCAATAACACCAGCGTAACGCCTTCCTCTCCACAGCCCAACCCCCCTTGAATACCCTTTATTTCAAGTCTCTAGGCCGCGTCTTTACGTCAAAGTCGCTGCATGCGATCAGTGACCACTCCTCTATATGCGAGGTCTCAAGACATTTAAAGTTGTTATTTGCGTCGGCAGCGGAGGTCACGTCAATTCTCTGTCGGCCTTTCCATTGTCAATGGGTTTGAACACAGCAATCACTGAGTCAGTCCTTGCAGCTGGTGGAGGTCTTTCAGTGCCTTCAGCCACGTCATGGACGATGGCACTCACTAGGTACTTTGCTCGACAATCCCCAAAGTGGAAAACTAATCGTCGCACACAAGATACGGAAGACCCTTCTAACTTGGCCAAGGCGGCAGATAAGCATCTGAATACGAGTTACCACATTTGGCAATTGGCCTGAGCTCTTTTCGTGAGTCAACGCGACATGCTTGCCATTGGAACTTTAATCTACATGGACACATCACGTCTTTTTTTTCAAAGGCCCCGTACTGATGTAATGCTTGATTTTCATGCTCAAATGCCCACGCTATTGAAAGACGAAACTCCTTGTCTCAACGCCAGGGCCAATTTGCAAAACTCGCATATCCGAAAATATCTACAGTAGAAGTGAATGAAATCAACCGGGGAACTAGGCCTTAAACTTCTTGAAGTTACGTCCACCATCAGCCAGTGCCGTCATGTTGGTGTTGCCAACCTTGATATACTCCTTCTCCTTGGGAATGGCAGCAATCACCTCGTCAGAGAGGCCGAGGGTATCTTTGACGACTTGCTTGGGTGTGAGAGCAAGCCATTGAGCAACACTGATATCCGAGAACTTGGGCGCCTGAAGGACCTCAAGGAAAATGACATCCTCGGTGCCAGTGTTCTCAATGTAGTGGCTGTCACCAACTTTCACGTAGCCAACATCACCAGCGGTGAAGTCAAAGGTACGCGAGGCTTCGGGGGCTTCAAAGATGGTGATACGGCCGGAACCCTGCAGGAAGTAGTTCCACTCGTCGCTGGTGGTGTGCCAGTGGATCTCGCGCATGGCGCCGGGCTGGACGACGACAAGGGCAGCCGAGAAGTTCTCCGCGATGGGGAAAGTTTGCGGGTCGAGGATCTTGACTGATCCGCCGGGGACTTGGAAGGGCTTCTGCTGCGACCAGTGGTAGGTGTATGATTCAGCACCGGTCAGCGATCCGGCCGAAGAGGTCTGGTTTTGCTGCTCGATATCCTTTGGCGCAGGCGTGCCATTGAAGATCTGCAAATGAGTAAGCTAATGCCGTGATTATATCGAGTCACATTTTGACTTACGTAAAGTTGATCTTTGGGAATCTTGTCAAATGCAGAAACATCCGTCTTGAGGTTCTTAGAAAGTACAGACAACGGGTTTCTCAAGAACAACTCAGAGGCCAAGAAGGTGTTCTCTTCGCTGAAGCTTCCCTGGTCGAAGACGAGGAGGAACTCCGTGCCCTGGTCGAACGCCTGGATGCTATGAGGAACGCCCTTCGGGAAGAACCATACATCACCTAGGTGTCTAAGTCAGATATGATGAATAAATCTCACCAGCTCAAAGGAGACTTACCCTCGCACACATCGTCGATGAAAGTCTTTCCATCTTCATTCATCGCGGCGATGCGACAGCATCCCTTCAGCATAAGTGCCCACTCAGCCGAAGTATGCCAGTGAAGTTCGCGATACGCGTTAGGCTGCAGCTTCATGTCAACACCTGCCATCGCAGAAGCGACGGGAAGGACTTTAGTGTTCTGCTGCCGCGCCCATCCGGCGCCCTCTTGACTGCCAAGGCGGTTGTGCGAGAGGCCCAGTGGCCACATGGCGTTCTCGACATCGCCCTTGTCGGTGCCGGGCGGGGCAAAGAGATCGGGGTTTAGCTTCTCATAGTCGTAGGTTCCTGCGGGAATTATGTATTAGCGTCATGCACTCGATTCCCTTTCGACAACCTCCCTCAGGAAATGCAACGTACTCGGGCCCGGATCCGTGGATCCCAGTCCGCCGCGGATCGGCTGTGGGACATCGACACCATCAAAGTTGAGATACAAGCCGAGCTTTCCGTCTGCTTCCTGGCCGGGCACTAGTGTAACGTCGTCGACATTGGCAGAGCCGCCAGTCTCGGGGTCAGGCCGAGCCGCGTTGCCTCCGAGAAGGCTAGAATCTCCTCTAAGATTTCCCGTAGGAGTAGTCACGGAGGGGATGGGCGGGTTGACACCTCCAACGGGGCCTTTGTTTTCTCCATAGTCTCCCATTCTTTTCATTGTCAGTCCAGTCTCATTATTGGTGTTCTCGTGGGAAGACTTACTGCGGCGCCGGAATAGCATAGCTCTGCGGCAAAGCCGCAAGGAAGCCGGCGAGGAGGAAAGCACCGTGAGAAAGCATTGTAGATGATAGGCTAGAAGAAAGCGACTTTGAAAAGACTGCGCTGTAACGAAAGACTGGTGATTTGGTGTCTGTTTCCAAGATGGTCTGGAAGCTGATGAGGAATAGGTCCCTTGCAGACTGGATTGAAGGGCCTTCTTATACCTCACATTTGCCATAAGGCGAACTTAGAACTTGCCCCCAAAGCCTCCAAAAGCAAACAAACGACATATGATGGCTCACAAGCCAGCTATGCCGTGCCATGACCATTTGCCCACCCAATCCATGCCATCTACTATCACAAGGCGGAGTGGAATTCGGCGGGACCGATTAAGCTCCCAGCCTTGGCGTCCGGACCGCGATATGTGGATGACATGGGGCTAGCCGCGTGGAGCACGAGCAGCGTAGTAGAAGCTGGGGGCAACAGTAGTCTAGATGACGCGTTTTCGCTCTTTTAGGTCTATCGCGAACAGCGAGACGGTTAGCACGGAAAAGACAAAGACCCACGCACGGTTGTGCGGCACCGGTGTGGACGAACATATCGATCTGGTCAACGACTAACCAGATGCCGCCCTGCGATTACTCACAACCTCCGAAAAACAACCCAACGCTCACCACGTTGTCTCATCTAAACGCTTACAGCCCACGGAGACTTCGGGAAGCCCATCGCACCTCGATCGACTCAGCTGGCCTTACTAGGATGAAAGTCGGTTGACAAAGTACAAATGCTGGGCAAAAGGTTAAGAATAAGGCTCGGTGGTGTCGACGCCCCCCAGCGCCTCCAACGTGAATCATTAAATCTGATAGCGGGAATTCGGGAGCGCCCCACGTTGCATTTCCCCCCTATTGCCGAAGACGGCAGTTGATAGTCTGGCTACATGGTGAAGTCACCGCTCTTAGAAATGGTCCGTTCGCGATTCGTCTGAACCGCGGAACCTCTTGACGTGTGTTCTTTGTGGGTAGATTATTCATGCAGAAGGAACGTAACCTGAGATGATTAAGGGTGTGACGAACACCTCGATTTGAAAAAAGGCCCCGGTGTCTCGCAGAAAGCTCGGGATTGCCCGCTTACACCAGACTTATCCAAGATGCAAAAGTTCTGGCTCCTTGATCACTCGGCTGCTGGCGTCCTGCCACCGGCCTCTAAGCTCGACCGGGCATAAGAAGAAGCTTGGAAGAGTGTAGTGACGCAATTACAAATGCCGCAAACTCTTTGCCTGGGCACAAGCACTTGTGCTCGTCGCAGAATCCATGTTCTTCCCATTCCGGTCTTGGCTCGCTTTCATGCCTCCTGAACCTCGGATGCGAAATTGGATCCAGCAGAATTGGAACCTCGAATTAGTATTCAATTACTGAGAAAATAGAATTGCATCATTTTGAGAAGAGGAGAAACTCTGGCATGTCATCTATCAGGTTTGCTAGATGGCCCAAGTCCAAAGTTCGAAAGATGAGACGGATGCAACGTTGTCTGCAAGATGAGCGAGAGTAGATACTAAATAAAGCCTTCCAACATGACAGAGCGACAGTTGAATGCAATCGAAGCTTATTTCCCTCCCACGCGGGACGTCATTGCTTCTGGATTCATCGGATGTCGCTGTGGTTGGATCGCTGTGCGATTTGAGTTGCCGCTTGGTGCTGCGGAAATGCCGCCACAATGCCATCGTGCATGCGTGCCCGCCGTTGGCGCGTGCGGCTTCATCCGATGCAGGCGGCCTTCTTTTTATCCCTCTCTGCCCGCTGCAGATCTGTCTTGGCTCAAAGAGAAGGGCCTGGGTCGCAAGGCTAACGATCGACCATGCAGTTGGGCTGATGAGCACCCTTGACGGTAGCCAAGTCCTGTTAAGCATAGCCATAGCCGTCCATCAGCCAGTGCTGCGCAATAGGTCATGGTCTTTAAGAGTGTTTCATCTACAGAAATCATCCTGAGAAGGGGAGGAAACCCCCTTCGGGGAGTTGTCAGGTCCCACCGGCATTGATCTGCTCCTCCACCCTAGAGGCTAGAGGGGGGCATTCCCATGAAATTGCAACATACGCGTACGACGTCGACGCTTTCAACAGGCCAACACTTCGAGTTAGTGACATCTTCTAAGTGAAAGAGCATGGTCCCGTTGGTATTTTTATGGACCAGACCGAATGAATCGCGCACTCTTGGATGAAAATCACACAAAATCGAAGCACGCGATATGACATCGAACTTTTCACAACGGCCCTCCCATTGAACAAGGCCACCAACAAGCTCGACGCTGGGCAGCACAACCATACAGGGTATGTCACAGCCCCGATGCCTGTCGAGCCTGTCACTATAGAGACTTTGCCATTGATTTGTCGTGGTGAGCTTCAATTACGCCGTGTCGCAGCCTTTTGACTGCCTGGACCCTATGACCAGAAGTCAAACTTTTCACAACATGGAGATACATGTAGGCATCAGGTGAGAAAAGAGCAATCTTATTGGGTATAAATATGACTGAGAACATGGTTTGCTGTGCTAATGGCCCAGGTATTCCTTGACCTCATTATTTTTCTTTGCGTAAAAGAACCACAGTGACACCGTAATAATCGCAATGCCCGCAAGGACCGCCGAAGCATAATTCATTTCATCTGCAACCGCAGGTAGGTAATAAGGAAAACAGTAAAAGATCAATGCAACTGCCGACCATACAAGCATGACAATGTTCGCCGCAAAGCCAAGTTTGGGATACCAAAAAGGGCCGTGTTTGAATTTTGAGCGGCCTTGGGATAAAGCCAGGACAACGGGGATACTGTAGCTGATGTATTGAAGTAGTAATCCTGTAGATATGAGGGAGTTGAAAGCGAGATCGGATGCGAGGTAAAGGCACCCAAAGATTGCAGTCCCTGATGCTGAGAAAATTAGAGACCAGGTAGGCGTGTGTAGCGGGGCCGATGCGATCTTGCTCAAATGGCGATGCATAGGAAAGCCAGCTTCACGACTGATAGTCCATGCGAGCCGAGACTGCCAAGTCTGAATAGACCAGACTGCGCCGATAGTCGTGATCATGACGGGCACCCAGAGACCAACCGCGGCAGCCTTGCTATCTGTAATACGGTAGAACAGGGCCAGGGCAGAGTTGTCGTCCGCACCATCAATGACGGGGACATTGATGAGTACTGATGTCACGACGAGGAGCCCGGAGACGAGGCCGACCACAATGGTCCACATCAGAGCTTTTGGGATATCTGTGCTGGGCCGGGGCATCTCCTCTGCCAGGTGAGTGGCAACGTCGAGACATGAGAAGCTCCAGTTGGCGCCGTTCATCCCGATGATGAAGGCAATGCCGTTTTGCCAGCCCGAGATGTTCACCGTCGTGACAAAGAAATCCTTTGCTGAGGCGTGCTCGTCTGACATGGCGAAGAGAGTTATAAAAATGACGACGATGGTAGTGCAGCTGAAGAGCAACATGATCTTGGAAATCTTTGGCAACAAACTCTCGAAACTCGCACCGGATACGGTGACAATGTTGAGGAGTTGGAACCCTAAGAAGCCCATCCAGCGCTTATACACAAAGTTTGGGTCAAGAAGCGTGATAATGGAGCAGATCCCGACAGGGACAGAGAGACATGTCGACGAGCCCGTGGCGACGGCGGCCAGCCAGCTGATGACGGCCGTGATGTACGACAAGAACCGGCGAGACTTCGGCGGCGCCAGCCGGTGAACCCAGATATACTGCCCACCCGGGTGTGGCATAGCGGATGCCAGCTCCGCCAGGGTGACGGCAGTCGCAAGGCCGACAAAGGCCATAACGAGAAAACCCCAGAAGAAGAGCGGCGAGCCGCCCATGGGTAGCGTGCTGCCAAACACTAACAGCAGGCCGATGGCAGTATTCGTAGTCCCATAGCCGATGCCAAGGGCAGATAGAGTTGTGAATGGCTTCATTGTCTGCACGGTGACGTCCCCGTGGATGATAGAGCCGTGCTCCGTAGCTTCGTTGTCCGCTTTTTCGGGCATGGCGGCGACTGCGTTCCGGGTTTTGGCCGCCGGTGCCTTGTCGAGTGAGGAGGATCGCTGATCCATTGTCAAGTCGATGGCTCGTATATTCGCCAGAGGCGAGGTCTTGTCCAAGGTGACTGACTCTGTGGATATATGTGTGGGTTGTGGAGGAGGGAGGGGCTTGAAGGGAAACGGCCTCCCTCAAGTCTTGGGGGTGGAGTATCAGGGTATCAAGTTAAGTAGACGCGCCTTGCGTGTGCATGCTTGTGTGACCGACTTCATGTACCTAGTAGCACGAGCTTCCCATCAACCGACCTGGGAGCATGTCGATAAGCCGAGATATTATGTCGTCCGCACAAGACAAGATAACACCGGACTTGTTTCTTGGGGTTCCCGCGCTATCGGCTCGCATCTCGCACGCAGTTGCCCGATCCGGCAAGCCAGAGCGGGCCTTTATCCGCTCCCGGTGCCCCGCATCCCGACCCCCACCCTCGCCGACAACGGCAGAGATCGCGGGTGAACTGCAACTGAATGATGGGCGTGGCTATGGATACGATGAAATGCTTTGGTTGGGACTCGATGCCGAGGTCAAGGTGGGCAAAGGTCAGACTCTTAGATCTCATGATCCGTGTTCACCACCACCTCATGCAAAAAGCTTTAGATTATTGCCCAACATCCCTGCTTACCAAATAACCAACAACTTAGTTCGAATCTCACCAAACATCCAAGATGGGGATTGATGAAGAGTTGTCCTCCTACCTCAGTGAGTCACTCTTGGTTCGAAGTTAAAAGACATACGATGCTGACCAAAGATCCCAAGATCCCGACATAGCCAGGTTTCTCCAAAACGTCTCCAAAGCCATCTCCCAAGACCCAGGCCTACCCCGACCAAACCCAACAACATCATCGTGGCAGGTCCCAGAGCACCCCTTCGGATCAATTCAGTCCCCTACCCTCCCCAAACAAACCGATTTCGTCGTCATCGGGTCCGGTATCACTGGCTGCAGCGTCACCAAGACGCTCCTCGAACACGGTGCATCACGCAACTCCCACGTCACTATCCTCGAAGCCCGGACACTCGTCAGTGGTGCCACGGGCCGGAATGGTGGGCATCTAGTGACTGCTTCGGGGCATACGTACGGACCGTTAGCGGCGCAGCATGGTGACGAGGCTGCAAAGCAGATTACCCGCTTCTCCATTCTCAACGTTGACCGAATCATGGAGATGGTCATGGCTATGGACGCAGAGGCTCAGGAACGGTGTCAGATTCGTGATGTTCTCAAGGTTATGGCCGTCGGGGACGAGGAGACGTGGACTGCTGCCAAGAGATCGGTTCTTGAATTCCAGAGGGCGGTGCCGGAGCACAGTGAATATCACCGCATTATTGAGAGTGACGATGTCCCAGAAGTACGTAAACAAGTCTTCTTACTTAAACCGCATATGAGTTTGGGTGGCTGACCTTTGATTTGATCACAGAGATGGAACATCAAAGGTGCTTACGGCGCCGTGGAGCACGACGCCGGCGCCGTCTGGCCATACCGACTCATCATGGGAATCTACGAAGCTCTCCTGAAACAAGACCGGACCCGGCTCGCAATCGAAGCAAACACGCCAGTTCTGCAGGTCCAATTTTTGCCATCCAGAAACCCAGGCCATCCCTATCTCATCACGACTCCAAGAGGTACCATCCGCGCCAGAAAAGTCATACACTGTACTAACGGTCACGCATCACATCTCCTCCCACAACTAGCAGGCCGCATCTATCCCTTCCGCGGCACAATGTCCGTCCAGAAACCCGGCCCAAATTTAAAGAACTTAGGCGCTTCGCGCTCGTGGAGCCTGTCCCACAAGCCGACGCTGGATGCCCGGAGCGGTCTCTATGTGACGGGTCTCTACTACCTACAGCAGAATCCCCTAACAGGAAGGATCTGGATCGGGAATGAGACAGCAAACATGAAGGATATCTTGACGTCAGACGATACCTACGTCCCGAAAGAGGCGAGAGACGCTCTGTCTACGGTGCTGCCGAAGCTATTTCTCGATGGGTGGGCGCCTGAGGTGAAGACGTCCGAGGTGGAGGCAATTTGGTCTGGGATCCAAGGACACACGGCTGATGGTCTCCCGATTGTGGGCCGGATCCCCGACTCGATAACGGGAGACGCCGGTGGCGGACAGTGGATCGCTGCAGGTTTCAATGGGTATGGGATGGACAAGTGCTGGCTGACGGGCGAGGCCTTAGTCAGGATGATGTTTCGTGAAGACGTCAGTGACTGGTTCCCGCGAGCCTATGTCGTCACAGAGAAGCGATTGCGAGAGAAGCTCACGGCGGATGAGACGTTGCTCAAGTTTGCGAAGCTCGCGAATCCTCAAGGGGTGAAGCTGTCTAAGCTTTGAGCATGTTCTGACTTGTCGATCTGAAGGATGGATAGAAGATGGTTCCAATAGAGTGTAGTTAGAAAAGAGGAACGCATTATATAAGCCACGTTATCCAAACTAGCCCATCATTGTCCCAAGATTCTTCTCGCGAGCGACATCCAGCCAATACACGTCCTCCTCACCAGCATCCAGTGCCGCCCACGTATGATCAATCAACTCGGCTATAACTCGACTCTTGCGGAGCGGCAAAATGTGCGTGTAAGCCGCCAGCCGCGACCGCACAAACTTGCGCGCCCTCGCCACTTCGATAGACGCGGGATCGATATCCAACACATCCGGCCCCACGTCACTACATGCATCATCCGGCTGTCGTAGATGCTGCGGCTCCCTCCTCAACTCGCTCGAGATCGCCACCATGATGAATGGCTGCGCACTTCGCGTCCGCGACTCAAAGGGTATATCCCGTAATATACCGAGGATATACATCGCCAGCTTCGTCAACCACGTCCTCCTCTCTCTTGCCGAGGGAACCTTATTGCCATCTAGTCCTCCAGTCATGGCCTCGGATATCGGCACCGGACGAAGCAGCCGCTCCCTGTCCCACGGTGCATACCGCTCGTTCAACAAATCCGGAAATACGCGGTACAGCTGTAGGAGACCCGTACACCGGTACGCCTCGTCGATAAGCTCCAGGTGCCGTAGCGGTGTCTTGGGATCACCCGGATCCGTAACGCGAGATAGGTCAGGCGGGCGGTGCGCCAGTAGCGCGCGCTCGAGTTTCCTTGCGGAGCGCAGTGCGGCGCGGAAGACGTCTAGGTCCGTCTCGGTGAGAAATTTGACGGTGGCCATGTGTTTCCGGTACTGAAAGATGAGGATGCCCGTGTCGGTTAGCAGTCGGACGGTGGCGTGGGATATACCAGAGTAAGGATGAGGCTCGATGGACTTTGATGGGTCCGTGGGGCCGATGGAGTTGGTGTGGTGATAGTCGCCTAGTTGGTTGCTGTCTGTTAGGTAGGCGAGGAGCATGGCCCAGTAGTCCATAGTATCGCTGAAGAAGGATAGAACGGCGTCTGCATCACTGCTCGTCTCGGCGGAGACATCCTTGAGCATGCTACAGCTCGCTCTGAACATGTCTGTTGCGAGGTTCTGAGGGCTGAGCCAGCTCGAGGTATGGCCGAGGAGCGTTGATGAGAGCAACATGGCCCTCTTGTGTGTTGTGGTCATTGAAGTTGATGAAGGTAGCGCTGGAGGGCGATCACGGATGAGTCTGAGGGCGTTGCCGTGTTCCCTTCGGGCGACGGGCAGCAGGTGCGGAAAGTCTTCTGATAGACAGGCTGCGGCCATGCTCTGGATGGTGTGGTACAAAGCGCCGGAGGACTGCCACATTGTCTCGACGATGTTGCGCATCACGTTTGTCTTGCTATCCCATGTACAGTACAGCGTGATTACCTCGCGGAAGAAGTATTCAGAGAGGGAGGTTGGGAGATGGGAGAGCTCGCAAAGGCTGCTGTGTAGAACATATTGACTTGGCCTAGGTTGAACTACCTCGACTTGGGACCTGGTGCTGTTGTCCTGGACGATGATACTCGGGCTTCCATTCATTGGGAATGGCTGTTCCATTTGGCGATCCTCACCTTGAGACGATGAAGTCGTCGGACTCTGCCCATCAACAGTCCAAGCCGAGCTCACAAAGGGTATGTCCCAACTTGGAGATGTAGTAACTGTTTCTTGACTTCCAAGCAACACTGCGCAAGATGAAGCATCAAAAGACGGCATTTCATGAGGCAGAGCAGGAAAATCCCACTGAAAAGGGCTCACGAGCCAGGGATCAACGAGTTGTGGGACGTCGGCATTGACCTGACCAGGTGCTGGCGAAGTGGCCTCAGCTTGCGGTGGATTTCTTTGACATACGGACGCTTCGGAGCTGGATTGTCTGGGTGAGCCGCGAGTCGCACCCTTCTGATCAACGCGGACTTGGTGCTTTCGCGACCAGCGCACGTTGAGGGCGTAGCCTGGGCACTGGATCCCCCTCTCCTCGCATCGGGCGCATCCAGGTTTCCGCTCATCGCATTTGGTCTGAGATGGACTTGTCAGCTTGTAGTAGCTTGGTATCAGTGAGTTTGAGAAGTCGTACCTTTTTCGACTTGCATCTGAGGCACCCACCTCTAGATTTCGTATGCATGGCTCTGGAGCACTGCATCGAGTGGGGTGAAACAGAGATGCTTGATATTCCCCGAGCCTTGGCAATGATTACGGACGTGGTTCCGAAGAGCTTAATCTGGATGAATGATCTTTGCAATGAAAAGTGCCCGATGACTGTCCAGCCTCATGTACGAAAGACCAAAGTTGGAACTTGGAGGTTGGAGTAGATAAGTTATCACTCAGTACTCCGTAGACTAACCGAACTAGCCCTCTTATCTCATCCGCTTCTACGAATACTAGCGCTTCCCGACCACCCCGGTCCGGCGTTGTGACGGTCCCCCGCAATGAACCCGGTCATGCGGGGGGAGGGGTCACTCCGGGAAGACGGCAAATTCGCATTGAGACTCAAAGTTTGGATAGCATCGGAACTCGATTCTTGGCAGCCAGACCTCCCTCTCTATCTCTCCAGGCGTCGGCGGAAGAGAAGGGGGGTTTTGGTCAGTAATCTCACCCTTTACCAGTTCTTCACCAGTTCAACTCATGCCCAGATCATATTCACATTGAAATCACATGTTACCAAATACCAACTCTCACTCACCCACCACCCCTCCCATCCCCAGCCGTAGCCCCAGGTTCCCTCACCATAGTAAACAACCGAATCGCATCCCCTTCATCATCACAAATCATGTCCCTCTCGAACACGAACCCCCATCGCCCATATATCTTCACATTCGGCACATCCCTACTCGACTCCAAATAACACTTGACATCCTCCTCATCAGCCCGGTCTGTAATAACCTTCATCATCTTCGCACCCACGCCTTTCCCCTGGGCGGAAGGTAGAACTACCATGATGTTGAGAAAGTAGTAGCCCCTTGGATCAGTCCAGATCTCGCGCTGGGCTTGGGCTTGAGCTTCTTTCCAGATGTAATATCGCTATTGTTCCTCGTCAGAATCGGGATGAGTGAGATGGATGAGATGGATGAGATGGATGAGATGGGTGAAGAATATAAGTGAAATGAGATGAAATGAGATCAGACGGGGCGGTACCTTTACATTCAAACCCCCGCGTCCATACCACAGGTTATAGCTCACCTGTCCAAACCAAAGCCGCCATCCCTCAAACCAATCATTCCACGTCGGCGGCGCGTCGGCGGGCTGTGGGGGCAGCCACATCGCCACGCCGAGGACCTCGTCGCTACCTTGCTCCTTTGCGACGTGGAAGATGCCGTTGCGGATGCCCCATCTCATGCGGAGGGCTAGAGATTCATAATTTCGTTGCGGGTTGAACTGAGGCACGATGTCAGCATCGTCTCTTTCTCTCTCTAAGTCTCACACTGAGTGCAAGGAAAATATAGAGTGATTAAGATTTAGGAAATGAATAGCGAGATGCTCAATAGGCATGGTACCTTTGATTGATCGTACACCCAGACATTGTAAGGGTCGCCACTGAATGCTTGTCTGTGAAGTGTAAATCGTTAGCATGAGGTTTGAATATGACGCGTGTGCCATCTTGATGAATGTCGGACTCACTGTACTGCTTTTACCGCCCCTGGAATATCGGCCTCAGTGAGATCCGTAACTTGGATCCCCATCTTGGATGAGACTCAGTGAATATCAACGACGGAGCTATGAGATGCACACAATCACTGAGATTCAGGCTGCCAAATGTAATGACGACACCGAGAGTATAGTGCGACGTCAAAAAGCAGTCTCAAGAAGATTTCAGAGATTCAATTGATAGGAGCATGAACATAACATAAACACCAAATCAATTCCCTGGCTGGTTGATAGCTGCAAAGAAAACCCCATCCCGAGGTCGCGTGTGGTCTGCGGGGTACAGATAGTGTTAGTTCAGATTGATTATCGAGGGAGATAAGATCGCATAGACTTTCCGCGAAAGGCAAAGCGGGAAAACGGGCTCAAGCAAGACAGACCTCTTCTTCCCCCACGCCAGCTCGGCTCATCCACACATCGAATGAAGACTGATAGTGCGAGAGTTCCCTTTGCCAAGGACCTGCGACCTCCGACCACATTCCACCGACCCAGACCGACCGACAGCGGAATGAAGGGTCCTTTTCACCCTCCTCCCGGCCCGATATCCAAACGGTCCAGTCTTGTCCGTCCGTAACGGCCGCTTGCTTAATCCGCGAACGGACCTGTGCGACAATCCGAACATATGTGAACCTACATATAAGGTAACCTTCCCTCCCACCGGAGTGACGTCGGATGAGTGGCAAGAAGACAAACACTTGGCCACTGCTGGGTTTTCACTTTTTTTTCACCATTTCTCCAATGTCCATGTTTCAATCTTCAGCCAGACACGGGACGCGTCAGTGAGGTAGGCGCAGCCGGCGCTGAGGCCAGCTTCGTCCGACTCAAGTGAGCGACGGCAAGTCAGTAAACATGAGTGTCAATTGCGGTCGCTGGTAGGAGGGAGTAGTGTTGAAGATGTGAAATATGCCATTGGTATTCGCTTAATTATGATTATTTTAGTTATGCAATGCTCATTCGCCATGAGGAATGTGTCGAAAAGTCCACCAGGAACCTGTAGTGGACGAGGAAAGTCGTTGGAGGCTCATTCACCCTTTGGGGGAGCCTCCCGATCCTTTCGAGTGAAATGAAGAAAATCTCGTCTCAACATCAACGTGTCGCCATGCTTCCTTCCATGCTTCCTTTTCTTCAGAATAGGGGGCTTCGGTCTTTCAGAATGCGACCGAATGCAACTCCAAAACCCATAAATCCAAACATTCTCTTTTCCAAGACTCTCCCCCTTACAGATCCTTCTTCTGCTCTTGGGGAATCGGGTTTCCCTTTTCGTCGACAAGGCCCTTTGCGCGCATGACCTTGAGGGCGTCGTGGAGGGGATCGAGCTCGGGCTGGGGCGCGCGGTGAGAGTCAAAGTAGTTGTCGGCCCAGGTGAAGTACTGGCCGTAGTTGACGGTGAAGTACATGTGGTGGAGGGTGTGGTGGGCGGGGCTGTTGATGTACTTTTCGAGCCAGTGACCTGAGATCATGTCGCCGTCGTGGATGAGGATTGTCCAGATTTGAACCAGAACGAAGAGACCCATGTAAAGGTATTTCTGGATGGGGCAAACAAAGACGAAGACACTGGGGGATGTTAGCTCCATTGCAGGTGGTCACAGAGTTGAGGCTCAAGTGGCTCTCCATTGGCGATGGTGATTCTTGGGGGCTGACTAACTGGTAGGGCAGAGATTGGACGTAGCCGTCGAGGGGGTGGAAGGCAAGGGCGGCCCAAGGCGTAGGCACTAGATAGAGTCAGTCGATGCCATAGAATTGGTTGTCGTTCCATCGACTGGAAATCGAAGGAGTACTATCGGGTGACATACCAATCCACTTGTGGTGTGGCTTGTGAATGTACTTGTAGACGGAGGGGTGGTGCTCGAGGCGGTGAATCCAGTAAATGGCAATATCGTTCCAGACCATGAAAATAGCTGCAGAGAATGCCATCCACCAGAGACCATACTCTTCAACGTGTGTGTACAGCAGACTCTTTCCGCGAACCTCGGCGAGGAAGAATGGCAAAGTCAAGATGTTGATAACGGGGACAGCCTTCATGGAGGAGATGATCTCCTGGCGGATCTGGTTCTTGAGGAAGCGCGGGTGGTACTCGAGGCGGCGGTCAAAGATGTAGTAGTAAGAGAGCGGGCTGAAGATCCAGTAGAGGGCGCAGGCGCCAATCTGGGTGATTGCGAGGAGAGAGATGATTTGGCGCAGGATGCTGTCGCGGGGCCATGCTGAACCGTACGAGTTCGAGAGGTCTGTTGGTGATGATGAGGCAAAAGCGTCACCGGTCGCGTTGTATGCGCCGCCGCTGGATGTGGTAGGCGCGGGGAGGAAGTAGGCGTAGGCCTTGTCCAGGACCAAGGGGTCAAGGAGGTCGAGCGCGACGTCCATGTTGGGCCGGCTTTGTGTGTGGCCGTTCGTTGTTTGTTGTCTCTGTTCGGCAATGAGATGCGCTGGAGAGCAGAGGGAGGGACGGAGGGACGCAGGTGAGATGTGGGAGGTTGATGGGATGGCAGTTATCGGTGTGCGAGGTGAGGGTGGGAGGGAAGTGAATATGAGAGGAAGCGAGATGTAGATGGGGAAATAAGGAATGACAAAGGAGTCACGTCGCCGATAAAGGTGTTCCGATGAAGTTGCGCTCGCTCGCAGCTCGGTCGGTCGGTCTGGCGGTCCTCTTGTTGCTGTTGCTGGCAGTGCTGTTGCTGCTCTTTCGGCGTCTGCTTCTGTTCAGGGGCAAACGAAATGGCAGAAACATTTTTGGGATCCGTTTATTTTCACCCACATTGGCACATTGGAGCAAATTAGTCAACCACCACTCACCATCCCACCAAAGAGCTTCTTCCGTGGGTGCGCGCTTGCGACCAGTAACATTGGGCGACAAGGGACGGGACGGGAAAGAGGGATGGCGAAAGAGTGCGACCACCACCTGCCTGCTCTTGCTGCTGTAACTAGCGACATCAGCACATTAGGAAAGAGGGAGGAAGGAAAAAAAAAAAAAAGAAGGGACCCACCCCACCAGATGAAATGATGGCGCTAAGCTTCATCTGTTCATTTAAACGAGGTCGGGCTGATCATCCTGGCCACTCACAGCAGCGTGTGCCCTGCATCTTCCCCTCTGGCGGGGTCTCCTCATCGGTACGTACTGTCTCAGTGAGGTACGTATCCACTCCCGGCGCATTCGGGTGGTGGTGTCACTTTGGTAGTGGCCGCACTGCGCAGTGATGGGACATTGGACAGACACAATCATGCAGCCTGGCAGAGTGCGCCAACGCCTTGCGTGTGCCATCTGATTTGCCAATCCCTCTCTAGAATGCACCGGACTGGTTCCTTCCCCTCCATTAACTCCTGTGGTGTAAGCTCTACTCACACAATTGAATGCGCTGATTTGGCGCAATCAACAAGATTGTTGAGCTGCACACACAACGTCGACCGCCGCAACATTTTGGGAACTTCGGGCCACTCGGTGTCCGTGCGGTGCCCCGAAGACGGAGTTACGAAATACCCTGGTGGGGCTGATCTCACCAGGTGCCCAATGGGAATTCGAGGAAGAGCTGGAAAGTGGGGCAAATCTCTCGGGAATTCGTGCTGCCAGTCGAACCATTCTTTGCATTCTCCATCTTCGCCACGGGTGACCACGGAATAGGCATATCCCAGCAATTGGGATGTGTTATCCTTTTCTGCCATCAGGATTTTCTAGGATGATATATCGTCTTTGTAGCATGTTGATGAGTAATAAGTCTCTGGCGCAATTGATCTCGAATTCCGAGGGGCAGGCTTCGTGAGGGAGCGAGAAGTATCGTATTTCAAGACAGAGATGGAGAATCATCGACACAATTGCATTTCAGACGACTCAGGCAAGGGTCCAAGGCAAACGCCAGTTTCGGCCAAGCTGCAACAACTTGTTCGTTTGAAAGTGAAACGAACATTGATCGGAGCAACAGCGGCGCCATGGCAAGGACGCAAGAAAGCTCTCACCAACTACCCAATTTCTTACAGCTTCTCGATGGCTTGGTGATGATGGTCCTTAGCGCAACACTCGTATTCGGATCGCCCAGGAGCTCGGACGCTCCATATGATCGACACTTTAACTCTAGCGCCTCATGGAGTGTGGCAGTAGAACAGGCCGAACAGCTACCCAATCACGTTAGACAATCAGCCAAAGCTGTGGTAGAACATCTGTTCCGAGTCTAGAACTTTGGATGGGAGTTGTCAAAGTTGTCAAAGACTCTGGCAGAAACTCTATTCTCATTCTCCAACCTCTTTCAAAGACTCAGTCAAGCATAAGGTACCTAAGTTGATGAGATAGATAGGTATGTAGGTAGCACGCGGCTCTCTTCCCTTAATCCATGTTGCTATCACTGAGGTATCACTGAGGTATCACTGAGGTGCAGTATCACGGCGATAACATTGCTTATGTAATTCACATGATGAACGGGAGAGACAGGAAGGAGCCATCTTGCAGTGGACTTGCACTGCACCCCCCGTCGCCGCTGTTGCCTAAGCCCTTATTGGAAGCTCATTCGAGATGAACACATTCCCCTTCTCCGCAAATCTCGTCCCAATCCTCTCCCTTTCTCAGACCTCTCCCCGTCAACCTCCGTTTTTGGCCGTCTCCAACAACGGCGCGGAATTCGGCCTCGCAGCGCCAAGATCGGACGTGGGGACCGTCTTCTAACGTTCGTTCCCAAGCCAATTGCATTACACCAACCCTCGATATCCGGACTTGTTCCTTGTATCGATAAGAGGATACCTACCTAGACCAACGACCTCTCCCAAGTTCTAACCCAGCAGAGCGGTTCGCTGCCTTCCCCCCCCCCGGGTTGGTTCGCACCCATACGCATATCCGCAGGTCCAGCCGAGCCGCGCGATGCCGAATACGGGCAGGCCGAGTCCAAACTGCCACTTGTGCCGGAGTCGAAGGGTCAAGGTGAGAGAATGAAACAATCAGAGACACCGTACTCGATGGATTCCGAATCAAAACGGGTCCCTCCCGCCCGCCTGCTCGCTCCCGCTCGCAAGTGCGTAGCGTCACGTGTTATACCTACTTCGTGCCGTTGGCTTACGTACCATACTTTACTTTATACGTGTGAATAATCATCCCAAGTCTCCATCGCCGTGCAGCTGACAACTGGGGGGGCCGGCTGCGTGCCGTGCCCGTGGCATGCAAAAAGTGCGATTTAGGCCGGCCTCAGTGCCAAAGATGCATCAAGTACGGGGTTCAGTGCCCCGGCTACCGCGACGATGACGGGATGCGCTTTCAGAATGCCGATCCCACCTCGTTTGAGCGACGGAAGAAGAAGAGAAGCTACCACCAGCATCCTCACCAGCACCAAGACCAGGACGATGAGGCGACGTCGACGACCAGCTCAGGGACCTTGCAGATTATAGAGTTCACCCCGGAATCATCGACGGCAGTATCGACCTCGTCGTCGTCCCCTGCATCAAGCCGGCAGCCGAGTCGGCAGTCCACGCCTGCCACAAGCATCACTACCAATACCAGCACTTCGACGCAGGTATCCGTAGCACTTCCGGTGCTCAAGTCCCTCCGCCAACACTGGACCGCCGAGTCCATCCCGCTGGTGCTGGGATTCTATCAGAGCCTGGACTTTCTCCCAGGCTTGTTCCGGGGCGCCGGGCAAGACCACTGCCTCGTTCTTACCGGCCAGGTCTTTACCAGGGCGTACATGATCAACCGATTTCGTCCGAGGGCCGATTACCGCGAGCTGTCTATCGTTCTCGGCCATGCCCTAGCCGCGGTGCAGGAGGCGATCAGGAGCCCCAAGACGTATACCTCTGACTCGACGATTGTTGCAGTGTGGCTTTTGGGGAACTATGAGGTGAGTGATGCGGCGTATGACATTACCTACTCGGAGTATCGAGCTCAAACCCCAGGTGCAATATGCTGGTTGTGTATCTAGGGCATATCATCTTGAGGAGCAGGGGGCTAACCAAATGGAACATGTTGACAGCTGATGATTGGCGGGTTGGAACGGAGGTCCTTCATAACCGACAAAGAAAGGGGTTCGTCGCCCGAAGTTCCCTGGCACATTCACGGCCAGGGCCTCCTCAGCCTCATGCGCGCAAGGGGGGACCGGCAGCTCTATACCCGGCATGGTCGTCAGATCTTTTGGGTCATGCACAACATGATAGTAAGTACTCATCACTGACAGCAAAACACTCGCCTATAGTCCTCATTTACTAAACCTCCACGTTAGCAAGTCCAACTCACAATCGCAAACACGCCCTGCCCCCCAGACTTTGAACGCTGGCTCGACATCATCGAAGCAACGCTCCAACCGAACGAGGGCCTCCTCCTCCAAACGGGCCGCTACCTCTCCGCAGCATGCTCTCTTCTATCGAAGCTGATCCCGATAACCATCAGCGGCGATGCGGCCCGCGCCCGGACGGCGTACCCGGCCCTAATCGCCGAGAGTGACCGGGCCGACCTCGCCATGGCAGCGTGGATGCGTGTGGCGCCCGAGTTCCAAATCGAACCGGGGCCGGTGTGGGGCTACTTCTGGAACTCGTGGCGGAGCGCGAGGATCAAAGTGCACCACATGATCATTCTCATTTCGAATCTCGTGGAGTATGGTGAGCCACCGCTGACCCCGGAAGACTACAATGCAGAGTGTGGTGGGTGCTCGCTGCTTCACCCGGAGGTCCTCCGCGCCCGCCGGGAATTCTGCATGGGTATCATCGCGACGGCCGGACGGGATGTCGCAGAGGGGATACCGCGGTCGCTGGGTGGGAAAATGCCGGATCTAGACCCGGATTTGCCCTCGGCATATTTCGATGCTGTGAGGTTGATCTGGCCGCTGAGCCACCTGTATGTTATACCCACGGCGCCGCGGCACCTGCGAATCATGGCGAGGGAGGCATTATTAAGGATTGCCAAGGAGAAGGGGATCTTGACCGCCTTGAAGCCAAGGGCAGGCGGGATGATGTTTCCGGAGGCGGCGTTGCGGGGGATTCCGGTGGACAATCTGGAGGAGGATGTCGAGCGCGGCGGAGGGTTGGTTAAGTTCGCGACTAAGGTTGAGGCGCAGGATTAATGTGAGATGTCCAAACTGCAACGTCGGGGTTTAGTAACTTCCGTCATCCGGGTACCAGCTTGACATTTGGCTGTTTTGTTGTTGGGGTCTAAAGACCTATCTATCAAGTTCTATCACCCGGTGTTTCGCCTCCTACACGCCGTCGGCTTATTCTCTCGGCGAATTCGCCCGTCGGTGCTGATCTCTATTCGCCGAGGAACATGACATCAATTCGGATACATGTATTCGTACCCTACGTGCCAGCTCTGCCAGCCAAAGTGGAAAAGGTGATTTTCGTGTGCCTATGCTAGTTCTCTCAGCTTAGCCCTGGGGGCTCGGAAGGCTGCTTACGCTCGCATAGCTTGCTGCTCCCCCCAATGGCCGATCACTGACGATCACACCTTGTCCTTGACCCATTTTTTGCAGTCTGACTATCTGCATGGAGGTTTCCCATGCGCTGTTCGTAGGGTCGCGGGTAGATATGACCTTACGTTACGAGATTTTTCACCTCCAAGGTTAGGCTTCTAAGTGAAAGCCGTTAAAGAGCAGAGGGAGAATTGAATCCGTCCAAGGGGAACCAAGGATCCCTCAATGCGTTCAAGGGATATGGACTAGGCACCCACAACCCGCAAACACGCCCAACCCACCGTAAATCTGCATCAATGATCAAGGATCCCACCCTTTCTACCCCGGCTCACTGGCTCAGAGAACGAGAAGCTTGTTTCGACGTGTTAGCGCCGAATTCGCGTCCGGGGGGATGCTGCGGCTTGCGCCGTTGAAAGCGGGAGGTTGTTCTTGGTGTTTGCCGGTGCGAAAGAGGGTTGTCGCTGTGATGTGATGCAGGCCGTCAGCAAAGCCCGGCACTTTCTGAGCCGAGTAAGCCTGCCCTATACCGGAAGAGGAAAACCATTCGACCCCATTTTTCTTCTAACAGCGCCTCTGAACTTTGACGTATCTGCACGGTGGTGAGTGGTTACTGGTGAGAGTTGGTGGCAGGATTCAGGCCGTGTGCCGATTATCCGAGTCGCGAGATGGGGTACCGTGAGACGTGAATCGTCAATCGGGAGAGAGAGGCCTACCGCTCCCGCGGGCTTAGATTGCGTCTAGATAAGGTACGGCGCTACACCCCCTCGCTGCCCTACAGGCTACAGGACCCTACACGTCAACACCCTGGGCACCGCTGATGCGCTCTGTCCATTTCAATTGGGTACCGCAGCGACCGTTGGCTTGGAGGAGGCGGAGTCTTGGTGACTAGCGGAGGATTTTCTGTGAATGTAAGTAAGCGAATGCGATGGATGGGGAACGCCGATGCAACGGATGCGCAGATGGGGTCTCAAAGGCTTGTTTTCTTTCTCTTACAGCTAGCTGCCTGCTGGGTATGGGGCTGGTGATGGTCTGTCTGGGAGGACTACTCCGCCCTTGCGGGCGTCAGAAGTGTAGTCGCAAGAGATATAACTATCGGGCTTGGGAGCTCTAGAGATGTTGAGTCTTTCGAATCATCATCAAACCTACTTCACTTTGGAATACGACTAGTCTGACTCTACCATTGTCTTGTCATGCTTATTTACGAAACTCTCGTCCAGGCCAGGGGCCTCCTTCGCGCCAACGACGGCAGCTCTGATAGCACCAAGGATGTCTGCCCAGACATCTCTCTCGCCGAAGGTCAGTCTCTCCGCTCATACCTAGTTTGTCATTACTATAGTCTCTTTACTGACACCGACCCAAGATGCATCTCAACCCCTCTTCGGCACCATGTCCTTCTACACTTTCAACATGATCCTTTCCGGCAGCTTCGCCGCCGCATCATGTCTCATCATCTTCACCCTCATGATCCTCCACGCGACGCACCTCAGCAAGAGCAACGAGCAAATCAAGTGCGTCACTTCCTTCGGCATGCACCATATCATACACCCGGATACAGTAGAGCTAACCCGGAGCATAGAATCCTACGAATCTCCCTCATCATCCCCTTCTGGTCCATCATCTCCTTTCTCTCCATCTGCTTCCCCACAGCCGAAGTCTACCTCCACCCCTGGCTCGAGTTCGTCCAGTCCATCTGCCTGGCCACCTTCTTCCTCCTCCTGTGCGAGTTCGTCTCGCCTAGCGAGCAGCATAGGGACGTCTTCTTCGCCGGCATGACTGTGAAGAATAAGAAGGCTGCCAATGGGGAGGAAAATGGCCTCCAGTGGTATAGAGTCAGTCAACTTACACGAGCATCATACCGGTAGTACACGAATCTAACACCCGTCGCAGAAAATGTGGTTCGCCGTTTTCCAGTACCCCGTCATCGCCCTGCTCATCGCCATCTTGACTGCCATCACCCAAGCAGCCGGCGTCTACTGCGAGTTCGAGAGTAAGGTGCATTTTGCTAGGTTATGGGTACGTTCACACACCATCAAACACAAAACTCGAAACTAACCAATTCCCAAAGCTGCAAATCATCGGCACCGTCTCCCTCACCCTCGCCCTCATGACCGTAATCCGCTTCTTCATGCAACTCCGCACCAAACTCTCCCACCACCAACCCCTCGCCAAATTCTTCGCCTTCAAGCTCGTCGTCACCCTCACCTTTCTCGAAAACATCATCTTTTGGATCCTCAAAGATACAGGCGTCCTGAACCCGACATCAACCCTCACCGACGCCGATCTCCGCATCGGCATCCCTTCCATGCTCATCTGCATCGAGATGCTGCCCCTCGCCGCCTTCTTCCACTATGCGTACTCGCACCGGCCCTACGTCATCGGTAGCGGCAACACGCGCCGTCCGTTGGCTGGGGATTTGGAGGCGTATGAGCCGCAGACGTATTCTGGTGGGCCTGGTGGGCTGTGGGCGCTGGTGGAGATGTGGAATCCGATGGAGATTGTGGAGGCGATTGTGTTTGGGTTGAAGATGAAGGCTGAGGAGAGGAAGCAGTCGAGGGCGAGGGGTGGGCGGCAGTCGACTAAGTATCAGTCGGTTGAGTCGCCGTATGAGATGGGCAGGAGGTAAAGCCGGAAAAAGATGATGGAGGGAGTTTGACGAGCGTTGATTCCGTGTATAGATTGTACATTTTATGACACATAGACTTTTCCCAGCGACTGTATATATTTTTTTAAAAGTTTCTTTATGTATTCTTGATTATTCGTTCACAGTAAATACTCTCATGTGAGCCTGTTAGCGTGATTACGTGCACCCTTTGGCCATGGTACGATTCTTCATACCCAGCATTGTAACAGAAAAGTCGATGGCCCAGGCAGAGAAGAGAAGGAACAATTACGCCAAGCTAAACCAAAGTCTGGAATGAACGGCTAGTACGTAAGGTAATTGATGTGCAACAGCTCCTATTACTATGCAGGTGAATATATACACTCTGAATCTTACGTTTAGAGCGCGTTGACCTTGGCAGCATGCTCGTAAACAAGCGGCCGGGCCTCGGCATCATCTAGGTAGATGGTGAACCCATCATTATGGTTCCGACCATACGAGTAGTTGGAGAAGCCATACTGCCAGTACATGTCCGGCATCTCCTCCTCAAGCGAAATCGCCTGCCACTTGCCCAGCACCTCTGTCCTTGGCGTATCATCCACCTTACCAAGATACTCAAGTCTCTTGTCGGCCGTCAACCACCCATACTCTTCATGCACAACCGGCTTGCCAACCTTCTTCCCGGACGCAGCATGGTCCCGGATCCACTGCTCCGTCCACTCGACCGTCTTGCTCCACCAATCCGGGTACGAGTGGAACGTGCCAAAGTCGATATTCGGCAGCGCCAGCTCGTGGTCAAAGTCGCTTCCGTCGGCGCCGTTGTACGCCCAGTCGTCCGACTCGATGTTGAAGCCGCCCTCGCCGCCCCACGTTACGAGGTGCTTGTTGTCTAGAGACTTGACATAGGCGCTCATCTCGGTGATCCAGGCGCCGAGGCGCTCGGGCGTGCAGTCGTCGCTCCGGGGGAGGTTGCGGGTGCCGTCGGCGCCGCAGCGGGGTTCGTTGGCGAGTTCCCAGGCCATGATGGCTGGTGAGTCCTTGTAGCGGGTGACCATTTCCTTTACGTAGCGCTTGAAGGCGTCTTTGATCGCGGGAACGTGGTAGAACTATCGGTCCGAGCTTGTTAGTAAATGTACTCGTTCAAGTGTTGCACCGCCCATTGCTTGGATGGGGAACATGGTAGTTGCTTACGTCGTCGTGGTACTTCCCACCCAGGTTGACCGTGTAGACGTCCATACCACCGTAATCGGCCCAATTGTTGGTGAGCGCGACAATCAGCTTGATGCCAACCTTGTCCGCGGCGTTGACGACCTTGTCAAAGGCCTCGATGTTGATGACGGAAGTGCCATTGTCCCACCTCTGGAAGACAATGTCGGTATCACCGGCACCCTCGCCGCCGTACTGGGGCAAGCCGCCGGCGTTGTACGTGGCGTTCTTGTCGTTGAAGCCCCAGGTGCGGAAGACCTTCAGCCCGGCGTCCTTGGCAGCGGTCAGACCGGCCTCGACATCGGCTTGGTTCTATGAAGCACAGTCAGTCACGATCGCATCTCGCCAGAGCCAATCAATTGGACTGTTATTTGCAGAGTCACATACGTTGTCAAAGGGGAAGTAGTAAGCATTGCTTCCCGCAAAGTTGAAGTCCTCGCCATCGAGCTGGAACTTGGTGCCCTTGACCGTGACGAAGCCCTTCCTGATGCAAGCCGCGGACGCGGCTCCGCTGGCTAGGAGGCCAATTGAAAGCAGACCGGAGAGTTGAGGTAGCATTGTTGATTACAATTGACGGGAATGCCGTGCTGCAACCCTAATCCAGATGGCTTTCTCTCGCAAAAACGTCCAAAAAAGAGCCCAACCAGACGGAGACGTATGTTGTGGCTGCGTGCCATATATATTGATCCCTCACCTTCGGAAAAGCGTACATCATTGAAGGACATGCCATCCGAACCATCTGAGCCGGGGTACTTCCCGATTCGAACCACGGAGGTCGTTGGGCCGCGTGCCACGGGTGCGTCGACCGGGGCACGCGGGGGGGAGTTGGAGATGCCAAGGTGAGGGAACGGGGCACTATGCCTACTTGAACGCGGAGGGTGGCCGTCCGAAAGTTGGGGTCGGGGCAAATCATCAATTGAGACCAGGTGGTGATATAGTTGATCGTGGAGGGGAATTGATGAACTGTAGATAGCTTGGAGGCGATTGTACCTGGTTGAATCTCCAGCTTAGAATGCTCAAGTGGGACGCGTCCATGGCGCCATGCTCTCATCAATGATATCTCGGGCATTCAAGTTAACACCGCAAGGTTTGCCAGCTCCTCAAGCCAACAGTCAAATCCAGTGATCCCCAATTGCATGTTCATGCCAAGAGAGAACTAGTGTCAGGGCCATCTATCCGACGGGATGAACTTCCTGCTCGTCCGGACAACTGACGTGGGGAATTGGCGATGCCCGATCTAAGTTTCCCCTCCCCAACCCACAATCATGCTATGTCCCCGCGGCGGTTAGCCGGCTAGTCTTCCTGAACGACCCCAGCCGAGCTCAAAAACTACTCCAACGAAACCGCCTCTAATCGCTGCGGCGCTGCATCTCATCTTCGGGCACCTGGCTTCTCCAATACCAGGAGGGCGAAGGTGGTGCGACTCTGTCGCATCTTTAAACACCTTGCTGGAAGCGAGAGTAGAAAGCTGGATAGATATGTCTTGGCTTGCTTCTGCCAAACAGGTCGAGCCACACTTCATCTCACAATAATAGTGCAGCTTCCGCTCTGAGAACAATGCGGGGTCCTCCATTTTCGATGCGGGGTAGCTTTGATTTTGGTTGTGATCCTGTGAAATTGTTGGTAACTTTGCGATGGAGAGAAAATGAGGAACCATAACCAACAGTTTACTGGATTACTGCTGTGAGACTTTGTAAATACTGTCTAGCAAAACAAGAGAGCAAATAAAATCGGCTATCAGCTAAAGTTTCATGGTACTGGCGATAAGATAAGACATATATAGCCACATGGTATCCCGGTCTTTCAAAATGTTCGCTGCAGCAAAAACGTAACCCTTGATGAGTGATGTTGAAATTGCCTCGTGGCGGAATCGAACCGCCGATCTTCTCATGTCACTAATACTAGTGAGACGCTATACCACTTAGCCAACAAGGCTTGCTTCCTGAGGCTCAGATTGCAGAATATGATGGGCGACGAGAGGTGGGACAAGGGATGGAACTGGGCTGAGAGAACTGGGGCAATCTGGCCGGAGACAGCTCCTGATGGATGGACTTGCAGCTAGACTATGCACAGAAGCACTTGAACTGCAGGGCAGGGAGACCCTCCCGTCAAACATTCTTCGCTAGAAGTGGTCGATATCTGCAATACGGGTGTCTTTCAAGAACTACTCAAGTCAGAAAGTAAGAGGGCATTTGTTCACTTTAGTCCAAAAAACATATGTATTGTGGACGTGGTCGTGTGAGTACGACTTTCATCATGAGTAATCCGATCGAAAATGAATTGTTTCATGTGTCCAACTAGAACTTATATGTTATTCATTTGGTTTGTCGGCTGTTTTGAGACGTGGACCTTACGACTAACTACGGGCATCGCTGTTGATACCCATCAACCCGAACCTGTCAACAGGGAACTCCAACTAGGAACGTTATATAAGTATGGAAAATAGAGAGGCTTGCACCGACTTTAGTTTCTCTCTATGGTAGTGGACAGGAGGGAAGAAACTTGGAATAATGCCGGAAGGGCAACGAGAAACAGACGGTAAATATCTCCAGCGGGCCTCGAACATGATTCTCGAGGAGGATTTAGAAGTGCGAAACTAGGCACACTAGTATCGCTTGAATTTGGAAAGGAAATACAATTAGAATGAGAACGCTACCTTAAAACCCGCCGAGGTGTGATGAGATGTGGCCAAGTATATATGCCACGAATGCCTGGAGGTGTTGTTGACGTGTGAGAAGCTTATTAGCCGCGCAAAGATCGCTTCTTAAATCCCTCGCCTTTCACTTTCTGTTTAATCTCTCAGAGCTTTGGTTAAAAAGTGATCAAGTTTGGCCATAATATCGATTGTATTGAGTTGTCGACTTTTGAAGACACAAATATTTGTTATTTGCGTCATCCAAGGGCCCAAGGTTGTACGAGGTTGAATTCAATGAGTTGGAATTTCTCGCCACCCGATAATTACTTACACGTTTTGAGACTTGAGTTTCCCTCAAACCCAACGAGATAAGTGCTTTGACCTTGGATTCCAGCCCATTTAAACAAAACGGAACCAAAGCCACAATTCCCGCATTTGGCGTACCAACGACGGGGCTCGTCCTCCGTGATCCCATCCCACTGCCGAAATCCACCAATTACCGACACTAGTATACTGCCGCTGACAGCCTGGTCATCAAAATCTGAGGAAGTCCTAGAGCATGCGTCAAGGATCAGTTAATTGCGGTGTGCCGGCCACGTTCACGAGGTCCCAACTTCATTTACAACAGGCTCTCTCACTCGTCAAGTCGCCCGTCAAAGGCACCGAGAGATCCTAGCCAATAGTCACAGCCATAATATTCATACGCTGGATCAGACGATTCATTTAATTTCATTACAAATTCCTGGGAGTAAAGTCGGTTGAGATGTCGAGTATATATTAGCGAACCCAGGTTGAGCTTGCTGGGTTCGTCTTTTCCTGAAGGCATCCTCCTCGACATTAATCAGCTCTTCCCGTATTATACCAAGCTTTGATCGTCATGAAGTCTGCTATTTTATCCTTGTTGGCGATCGCGGCGAACCAGGTCTCAGCACATGCGACCTTCCAGGCTCTGTGGGTTGATGGAGTAGATGTAGGTCGAAGCCTGCGACCCAACACGTCCAAAATCTGCGCTGACTGATCGCAGTTTGGCGGGCAATGCGCTCGACTCCCGCTGTCAAACTCGCCTGTCCAAGACGTCACTTCCAATGATGTCCGATGCAACGCGAATGGCGGTCCAGTTGCTCGCAAGTGTGTGGTCAAGGCCGGGTCCTCGGTTGTAGTTGAGATGCATCAGGTACGTCAGTCCGTATAATTCAACATAGATATCCCATGTCAGATCTAACACCCGCACTTGCAGCAACCCAACGACCGAACATGCACCCAAGAAGCCATCGGGGGTGCCCACTACGGACCCGTTCTCGCCTACATGACCAAGGTCTCCGACGCTACGACCGCCGACGGCTCAACCGGCTGGTTCAAGATCTACCAAGATGGATGGTCCGCCGCGGCTGGCAGCGTCAACGGCGATGGCGACAACTGGGGCTCAAAGGACATGAACACCTGCTGCGGTAAAGTCCAGGTAAAGATTCCGTCGGATATCCCTGCCGGAGACTACCTTCTTCGCGCGGAGTCGATCGCCCTGCACGCTGCCGGCTCAAGCGGTGGCGCCCAGCTGTACATGACTTGCTTCCAAATCACTGTCACCGGCGGAGGAAGCGCTTCGCCCGGAACCGTCTCGTTCCCTGGAGCGTACAAGGCCTCTGATGCCGGTATCCTCGTCGACATCCATAGGACCTTGACCACCTACGTTGTGCCAGGCCCGACTGTGTACGCTGGGGGCTCAACTAAGAGTGCCGGTGCCGCTTGCGTTAGCTGCGAGTCGACTTGCACTGCGGGCTCTGGACCTACTGGAACCGCATCGAGCGTACCGCTGCCAACGGCCTCTGGCGGGCTTCCTGGCTGCACTGTTGCCAAGTATGCTCAGTGTGGTGGCGAAGGGTACACCGGCTGCACCACCTGTGTTGTAAGTTGTCATCATCCAAGGTTGTGCGAGACTGCGTGATACTAACGGTACGTAAAGTCGGGCTCAACCTGCCAAGCTGTTTCGGCACCCTACTACTACCAGTGTGGTTAAGACTTGACCTTGTAAAGCATAAATCGAAGTGCGGGCCGTGTCTTTCAAGATCATGTGAGATGTCCTGGAAGCGGTTATTTTAGGCCCGGGATACCTTTTTATTCTTCAACCAGATGAGCCTTTCTATAAGGAGTTGCTTTCGTCGCACGTCACGCGTGAGAGTTAACAGAGGCTGGGTTGTTAATCAATGTCTTGTATCATCAAATAGCATCCCTACTTCTCGTAGTGCCACAACGATATATGCATACATGAACTTTGTAGCCTGGGCCTCTTGAGACTTGATTCTTGTGATCTGTCGTTTCTTCGACCGGGCTGGGAGCACGTGGTTGTCTTTCTGAAGCAGTTGCTCTACAGTCCTCACAAAGCGAAGGTCCCAAAGCTTGAACAACTCTGGGAAAATGTTGACATACACATTTGACGCAATGGTATTTTGCACGTAACTAAGTTAGTTGCATTAGATACAGTATTATACAGTATAGGCTAGGTACGATATTGGTGCCTATAGAGAATAAAACAGTAAAATCAGACTTGCTCAACAACGATAGGTATGATACAATCGGCACTTGTATGCTTTGTCCGTCTCCCTCAAGTATCATACCACATCGCAATCATAATCCTCTATTTTCTAGATATCTTTCAGGCTGTGGTACTGGCGGATGCACCACTGTAATGTCAAAAAGCGGATGCGGCACCGTGGTCGGGTACCTCTGCGGTCGTTTCTGAAGATAAACCGGCGCATCAGATTCATCCTCTGGCCAAATACCTGCTTCGTCACCCCTCAGATCCTCACGCCTAGGACGAGACGTGCCTCCGTTATCCTCAAATGAAACCTTTCGAGTCCTAAACCCACTGCGTGGTCGTTCTGGTCTCAAAGGCCCTGGCGAACCATAGCCGCTGTCGCCGGGAGATAGACCCCCCCAAAGCGGCGCATTCATGTCCCGTTGGATTTCCGGTACAAAAGTTCTTTCCCTTCTCTGGCGAGCTTTCTTAGAGGTAGGTGGGCGCCCGGCCCAAAAGGCCTCATCTCGTCCTTGTTGTAGGTCGACCTCCTGCTGAGAAGGTTGACCAAAGCTTGGCTGGTTTGAAATGAACAGGTTGCTGGATGTAGTTGGAGCAGTATTCCAATGCCGTGGGAGTGGTCTATAGCCTCCTGACAAGTGAACATCTGATACCGCTCGTCGATGAGATGGTCTATCGGGAGTATGATAGCCTCCGAGGTCTAACTGTGATGGTATCTTCAATTCTCTCAGAGTTTCAATGACAGTTGATCGCACAAGAGGTTCAGAGTCGCGGTCATCATGGACCGATGGAACAGGCGTTGCAAACACCCTAGAGCCAATATCGGAGCGGAGGATTCGTCTGCTAGATTCCGAGCGTAGGTCAATGTCTCTTAACTGAGCGTTGGCTCTGTCGAGCTCCTTTCGCATGGTCCTCTGCACCTGCCTGGCCAAGGAGGCTTTTAGTGCTGTCGCCGCCGCTCTTTGTTTCTCCTTTTCCCTCCGAGCTTTCTCCTTGACATCCCGGTCATCCAGTCTTTTGTATAAATCTTCCACCGCATTCCAGCATTCTTGATCGCAAGTAGGTTCGGTCGTCTGTTTGAGGGCTTTATTTTGTCTTGGCTTAGGTTGTTTCTTGGGCTCAAGGGCAGTTGTATCTGCGTAGTAACCCTCGAACGACTCTTGCGGTGCGGCGTACTGGGTCCGATGATCTTTGCGGCGGATCGGGAAAAAAGGTTGCTTGCGGGGGCCGGTAAGAGCATGAATGTGAGGTAAAGCATCGTACGGATGAGGATGAATTGGTTCTGGATGTGGTACATAGTAAGGACCATAAGGATCAATCGGTGGAGGAGGTGGTCTCATAGCACGGGGCCCTCCCATCGAATTTCTCCAACCGCCATGGTGAGGTACTGGAGGATGGAACCGCATTGGAGGCGCATACATTGGATATGTGCCGGGATAATGGGGGACTCCGTGGTAGTTCATTGTTGGAATTTTAGGATGTTGATCGAATCTTTGAGGGTCGTTGGGACCGGAATGCTGAGGCAGTGGATTTCTTTTTGGGTGACCTCTCCTCTGCAAAGGATCTGCGAAATCTTCTAGGTAACCTCGCCGATAAGGGACTGCTTGGCCGGTGGTGAATCTCGCTTCTTGATAACTGCTATAGCTGTCTGGATCGGGGTGAGTTCCGTCCCATCCAAGTCGTGAGGCAGTATCTTCGAAGTTGTCGAGAGGTTTTGTGTTGCGCTGGTGATGTCTGTACGATGTTCGTCGTTCGTTGAGTTCCGATTCGCTCCAGTCCGTTTCCTCCGGAGTACTTTGTTGTTGACCTTGATCGCTTTGTGTAGAATAGGGGAGCGCCGGAGTCATGATATAGATGGCAAGAGAAGGAGTGTTGAACGGAGAGGGGAATAGTTGACTTTCAAAGCATACTATCAATCGCTAGATGTGGATAATGCGACAGAGTCCCAATTTGCTGAAATGGGGGCCTGTGGTGTGGCTTCTGCTTTATATTCGTCATCATATTCCGATCCACGTCGTCCCAAATGAGAACGCGCGGGATAGGTTCGGCTCTCTTCGAAACATTTACCTGTCGGTCGGCTTCTGGAGACCGCCATTGAGCCAGCATACTATTGGTTCCAATATGGTTGTTGGTTCGTGTTGGCAGTCATGTGTCGTACGGCGATGAAAGGGAGGCCACCCGTTCGCCGTTCATCCAGCTGCTCCGACCAGACAGGTCGCCGCTCCGGCCGTCGCTTACCTCGTTTCATTCTTGGACATAGGGACCGAGCATGACTTTCAAGCAGGCTATGCTAGAGATGCAGCTGCCTTGCGGACGCCTTGAATTCTGCCTTGAAGTCAATCGGCTTTTCGCAGCTCACATATGCGATCATTTGCGCTAGAAGGGCGCTAATGTATGGTGCGAGATGCAGAAAACTACGTCGATAGGTAAAGTATTCACTTAGACATGGGTCAAGGTAAGATAATTGGTCTTCAGCACTAACCTACGGAAGTAGGCAGGCCAGGCTCTGTAAACGATGAAGTCTTCAGCGTAGCTTTGCAAGGGTTCAAAACTTAGAAAGATCTTGTGTAACTATCATGAAAGTGAAGTAAGACCCTGAATTGAGGCCGCATCTTTTTCAAAGAGCATTTCCAATACCCACCTTACATTTCAGACCAACAGAGCGAAACGCTTGTAGAACGTTACACGTTAACGGATGCTTCAAGCAGGCTGGCATGCAATACATATGCGTGTGGTAAGATTTTGCAGCCGGTTGTCCGATAAAGGTGGCAGTGTTGACGCGTTTGGGATAAGCGACGTGGGGATTTTGAGCCAGTAGCATAAGCCAATGCCTCCAAGATCATGGTGTGAAGCTCAGCCTGCGTGACATGTCTCTGTTCTGCAAGTTGGATTGGCGCAATCAAGTGGGCGCGAAGTGTTCTCTGTGATTCGTTGGCTCATCGGCCAAGGGTATGATTCAAATGCTCAAACAGAGAGAGGCTGCCGAATCCAAAACTGTTCCTAATAGGTAGTCCATAAGTTGTTCAGTCGGAACATATCCCAAACTCTACAACATAACTGCCTTGATAATCCGCGGCTGTACCTTGATGTTGGCTACAGCACAGTATTTGAGCTTGCACATCTATTTCCAGAACTCCTCCAACGGCGGCTATTTTGGATACCTACCTCAGATTAATAGCTTTCCAACATGGATCCTCTAAGCATCACAGCGAGCACTCTAACCGTCATCCAGTCGTTGCTGGCTACCTTCGATACCATCAAACATATCAGGGGTTTACCCGCCGCCTTCAGGGAAGTGGGGGAAAGCCTCCCACTCGTCGAGAACACATTGCAACTCGTGCATGAAGCGTTGAAAGCCGAGAAGCCATACGTAGCGGCTGAGAAGGAACTCATAACCGCACTGTTTGATTGCCAAAATCGGGCTTCCACTTTACGCGACATCTTCAAAGATATCGAGGGCGGCAAGAACCAGGAAAAGGAGGCCAAGGAGTGGTCGGCTCTTGCTAAGTTCTATCACAACAAAATTGTACCGCTGGGCAAGGCTCACAAAGTCGAAAGCCTGATGCAGGACATACTCAAAAAGCTCAAGGTGCTTGCCATTCGACAGATATTCAAGGCAAGTGCGGAGTTGCAGAAGCAGGTCGACAGCCTAGAGGATGCGATTCGATCTTTGTCGGAAGTGGACCCGTCACTCCAAGACTCTGACGTCGATGCCGCCTCAAACAATATCTCAATGAACAACTACAACAAAGCGAAGGAACTGGTTTCGACAGGCAGCAATGCGGACATTGCGATGGGGGATAAGTACCACTCAGGCCACAACATGTATTTTGGTAGGAGATCAAGAGACAGCGATTCTGACTGAAGGGCTTCAAGCTTAGATTGCTGACAACTAGCAAACCTTTTGTAGCGAATCATTATTATCAAGCCTCTGGTGCCACCGGTTCGTTTTCACTTGACCAAACTACTGATGTCTCCTGTTCTCACCAAAGAAAGTGGACCACCCAGAGCTACATATTGCCGACTGGCTAAGGCTAGTATCACGGCCAGTGGATGTTGCAAGGATACAAACCGAAACATTCCAGATCGCTCTGAAAACTCCCGGTGCAGGGAACGCGATAATTCAACGATCAGCCTTCGAGAGATGGTATGCTGGAGATTTTCGGAAGTTTTGGTGCTATGGAATCCGTATGTTATCTTCGTTGCAATTACCTAGACTAAGAACGGAGATCTGACGGCAAGGCTCTTTTAGCTGGATCTGGGAAGACCGTTCTTGCGTAAGCGTGCAATCTTTGTTCTCACCATAGGCTTCACTCTCTTCAGAGCTCGGACTGATCACGGTTTTGCAGATCTATTATGGTCGATCATATTTCCAAGCGAGTGACAAGACACGGCAGCAAGGAAGTCTGTGTCTACTTTTATTTTGACTACACAAAGCATGCCGAGCAGGTTATCACCAATATTTTATCCACAATACTACTACAGCTTTTACAAAACCAGGACGTTCTCTCCCCTGAAACTCAGCGCGTCGTCAATACCTGGAAAAGGACTCGACAAGTCCCGACTGAGGAAGATTACATCAAAATGATCGCATCGCAGGCAGAATTGTTTTCCACTATTTACATGGTAGTAGACGCCCTCGACGAATGTTCCGACAACTCTGTAGAAAATACTCTTGCAACTTTCCTGGAGAAATGCCAGAACTTGCCGAAGAGCTTTAGGATGGTTTACACGTCGAGACCGGGATCTCATTTCTATCGAATGATAAGTCCAGACCACAAATGTGAAGTTAAGGCAGATAAACTCGATGTCAAGGCTTACTTCGACAAGTTCATCGAAAGCCATTACGACTTTCAACAAGTTGTAGAGAACGGCTGTATAGCGGATCCGTCATTCAAAACCAAGATTGTAGCAGCGATTATGAAAAAGTCTCAAGGAATGTAAGACTCAGAAGTCATTCAACGGTCTATTTACTGGTTGTTGACCGCGTGTAATAACAGGTTCCTTCTAGCGCATCTGCATATCGAATCCTTGGCCTCGACGCTTAGTCTCGTAGAGCTTATCAACAAACTGTCATACCTCTCAGCAAGTCCGCAGGAGGTCTATCACCAGGCAATGGACCGCATAAAAACCAATTCGGTTTCGAAGCGAATTCTGGCTATTCATGCCTTGTCTTGGGTCGTTTACGCCAAGCGAGCTCTGGCCGTCGATGAGCTTCTACATGCTGTCGCAATCCGCAGTACCCCGCCAGTCTCATTCACCGACAACAAGTTGACAAAATACCACCTTCCCACATCATCCAATATGTGCACGGAAGAAGTTCTTTTGTCAGCCTGTATCGGCCTACTCGTCGTCGTTCCTGGTGGTTCCATGTCTTCACCTAACAGGACTGTTCGATTGGCTCATGCCACTGCGGCGGAGTATCTCTTGGCTCAAGAGATCATTAGGGATGAGCAGGCTACCCTTCTGGAAACGAGTTTAAACTGCCTTTACCACGCCCCAAGCCAGGAAGCCTCCTTCTCTGAGGAAGAACTCAACAAACACTGCAAGATGTATCCTCTTTTCCGCTATGCAGCGACGTACTGGGGGGTTCACTTCTCCGAGCTGGCAAAAGTGAAGGGGAGTAGTTACAAGTTGGCCTGGGACTTTGCATCAGATGAATGCAAGCTGGGCAATGCATTGAGAACGATGACCGTTCCAAGTATTTCGCACCAGATAAGTGCACCTGCTGGACATATCTCAGCGTACTTCGGCCTCGAGAATCTGGTCAAGAGGGCGATATCAAAGATCGGGTACGTCGGCTTTAACGACAGAACAAAGAGCGGAGAGACCCCATTGCACTGGGCGATAGCCCATGACCAGCGAGACTTTGCAGTGTTCCTGATCAACGAAGGGGCCGACCTCAACATCCAAAATACTAATGGCAAGACGGTTTTACACATGGCAACGGCGATGGACCACAGGTACTTTACCAAGATTCTGATTGAGAAAAAAGTAGACCTCGAGCTTCAAGACTCTGAGGGATACACTTGCTTACGTTGGGCCGCTCGTTATGGACATCAGAGGACCGTTAATATGCTGCTCAAGGCCGGAGCAAAGATTAGTGCGTCTGACAAGGACGGATACACGGCGCTACGCTGGGCAGCACGAGAGGGATACAAGTCGATCGTCAAGACTCTAATCGATAGAGGCTCATCGATCGAGTCAGCTGGTTCCGAGGACTGGACATTGCTGAGATGGGCAGCACAAGAGGGCCAAGATTACATCATCAGCCGTTTAGCTAAGAGAGGTGTCGGTTTGGATGTTTCGGACTCCGAGGGGCTGACTGCTCTGAGCTGGGCCGTGAAGTACAACCGGGAGATGACTGTTTGGCAGTTGATCAAGGGTGGTGCAGATGTCAACAAGCCGGAGATAAAGGGAAACCGACCTCTTCATCTTGCTGTAGACAATACTAGCGGTCATCACGACAAGAGCTCTCTGAACATCCTCTGGATTCTCCTGCAGAATAGAGCCAAGATTGACGCTAGGAACAAACACGGAATGACACCTCTGCATCTAGCAGCGGCCCGAGGAAACGCGTCAATCGTTTGGCTGCTGCTTCAAAACGGAGCAGGCCCAAGTCAAGTTGACACAAATGACCATAACGCACTATACAAAGCCGTAGTTGGGCAACATCTTGAATGCTGCCAAGTTCTGATTCAAAAAGCGGAGCATCTCGTCAATACCACGGACTTGTCATGGCGTACGCCTTTGCACGAGGCGGCTTCAACAGGGTGCCTCCCGATTGTGGAAATGCTCCTGCGTCACAATGCACAAATAGACGCTCAGACTCAGAACGATCAAACACCGCTATATCTTTCAATCTTCCAAGGTCATCCTAGAGTCGCAGAGTTTCTAGTCAAGAAAGGTGCAGACTTGCAGATTCTCAACACTAACGAGCGATGGACGGCGTTGCATCTCGCAGCGTTGATAGGAAGTCTTAGTATTGTAGAGGTGCTTATCAATCATGGGGCAGACATCGACGCGCAGGATCGACAAGGGTATACTGCGCTGCATCTTGCGCTCCAAAAGGGGCATGACAGGATCGCGGATTGCCTGAAGACGAATAGGGCAGTTGCACAACAACTAAACTTTGAAGGGCTGATGGCAAAGAGCTCTAGCGCAAAAAGCGGAGAAGAGCCCTTCAAAGCGACTAACAAGCCCTTCACGTTCGAAGAAGCAAACAGTGCTGGGCCGACAGAAACTGAGGATACGCCTTGGTGGAAGGGGGATAAGAGGTTCACGGCTACTGTGGAGGATGGATGACCTCTGGTCAATACGTGAGGTCGAGGAGTCTGCACTAGAATTCATAGAAAATAAACTCGCCCATTAGGTAGACGATAAATTCGATAGTGACTTGCACTTCTAACTCATTTAACTGAAATGAATGCCAACACAATAATATCGAGGAGACCCGGAGATCAGTCCTTCTTCTCAACTTTGTCCAGTAGATCCAAAATCTCTCTTGCAGCTTTCTCTCTTCCCGCGCCCTCGGGGTGCTGCTTCGCCAAAGACCGAGCTCGTTCCTGCATTGCTTGCGCTTCGGGGCCAAGCACGACTTCTATCAGCTTTTCAGAAAGTTCATCTCTCTCCCAATAAGGCTTGGCCTTCCTGTTGGCCCACTTCCCGATGCCCAAGATCTCTGACCGAATGGCGAAGTCATAGCAGTCGCCCCAGCCTGGTAGAACAACTTGTGGGATGCCGGTACTAAGATTGAAGTCAGTGAGAGCTCTTGAGTTGCAGCTGACATTTCGGAAACAAAGTTTAGCCTAGTTGAGCGAGGAAATGCTTACCATAAAGCTTCATGGAAAGAGTTGGAACCGCCATGACTGACACAACACACCAGATGGCCGGACTCCAGAATAGACTTTGGCTCAGCAGTAACCCAGTCTGTGATCTTGACTCTTTCCTGCTCGAGGAACGGACTCAGTAGTGCCTTGATATCAAGCCATGGCCCAGAGTACTCCGCTGCGTTCTCATTGTCTCCCAACTTGCGCGGCATCTTCCATAGGACTTGGAGTCGAGTTTCGTCTCCAGAACCACCCTTGTGCTCATCTACTTGATCAAGAAGATTTCGGATTGCATGAGCAAATTCCGTCGCCTTAGGAATATCGTAAAAGTGGTGCGTGCCGAGGCTGATGAAGACTGTCGGCCCTCGACCCAGCCACTTGGCGAGTTCAGGGTCTTCGAGTTCAATCTTGGGAGCAGCGCGCGTGATAGAACCACATGGAGTGATGGACTCAGGGATCGTCTCAAAGGGAAAATCAATGTCGGGGCTGTTGGCGACGAGGATCCGAAGGCCCTTGGGTGGAGCTTTCAGAAGGCCTAGCTCGTTCCAGGTGATGATCTCGATGTTTGGTCCAGCTTGCTTGGCCAAATATGCTGTGACTCGCTTATATCTCGGATCGGAGAACAGTCCATACCCAGCGACGAAGTTGAAGAACACGTTGAGAGGGATGAGATGCAGTGGGATCGGAAACGGCAGGCTTGACTGTATGCTTGGCAGGCGTTAGGTTTCGGATTGAGACTTGGATTTTACTCGTGTGCACTCACATTGGATACTTCCACAGCATTGCCAACTTGGGTTGCATTGGCAACGCGAATTCTTTGATGGTGTTTGGGGCAAGACAAATCCAGTTGATCTTCGCATGGTTGGCAAAGGTTGTAGCCGGAGAGAAGAATGACTCCACCACAGTTACATCAGGCTTCACTTCTTCGAAAACTTTTTCGATAGCTTTGTAAGTCTCGAAAAACTCCTCCGGGCTCCATGGGAGGGCGAGGCCGGCAAGTGTGAGCATGTTGCGGGAGGTATTGACGAGCCCGGGCTTTGTAAGCCAAGTAGCCAGGGCAGGATTGTCCGGTCTGTCTACGGCCTCGAAGTGAGAGAGGCCGACGAGTGGATGTAGCTTGACGGCGTTCCCAGCGGGGGCTCCCTCTATCTTGCCGCATTGGTTGACGAAGCGGTGGAGCTGAGCGTCGAAGCCTGCTTGTGAGCCAATGTGTACCTCAACATCGGGGTTGATCTGCATCAACGCGTAAGTAGCTGAAAGAATGACATTGGCTTGGCCATAGTCTTTGTTGCAGAGAAACAAGATCTTCTTAGTTGAAGACATCTTGAAGGGTGGCTGAATGGGTGACAGGCTGTCGTAGGGTGGGTGTAGCTTAATCAAGCCATCAAAAAACAGAGCTGGGGGTTTCTTCGAGATAGCCTGGGTCTTTAACGAAGAGAGTTTTCAGGAGTAAAATGGAGAGCCTTTGGCTCTCGTCTGTTAACTCAGGTCGCACAATTCCTATGTTTCCTTCATGGAAAATCTCGGAACCACGCCAACGCATCGTGAGGTCTGGGCATTGATTGTTGCTGCATGACTTGCAGAAATCGTATGGATATCATTCTGATAACTCAATTCAACGAACTTAAGGATAAATACTTTGTGCTGTTCCCTGCCGTATTGTTTTACACAGCCAAGCAATTCGACATGGCTAGCTGACGTGAGATAGACCGGCATCGCGCACTTTGACGTTGCAAATTGAGCCAAAAGGGCAAGAGGATGTGGATGGTGTATAGCGATAGCTCCACTACGAAAGGATTCCCGTTGGACACCTTATCTCAATGTTCCTTTCGATTTACGAGAGGTGCGTTCGGATTACGTCCCTAAGTGGAGTTTGTGTGACATGACAGTCTGAGTATTGTGGTGATCACTGCCGCTCGAATGGGCAAAGGAGACCGGTTGGAGACAGCCGGGCCGAGTCGTCACTTCCTTCGAGGTCACAAACATACCATTTCTGGTCAGATATGCTGGTAAGTGGAGACGGATTGGGCTTTATTACCAAAGTCTGCAGTTGAAAAGCGCGGTTACTGTATTTGATTGGGTCATAGATGAGGCTGAGGCAACATCGATACTACGCCGAGATTACTTGCGTTGTTCTGGCATTTAGACTGCAGCAAGTATTTGACAGCTCGTGTTTATTAGAAATGCGCGTCTATAGCAGATCACGTCTAAATTTGGAGTGATCTCCATCTCCGTGTCCCAAAAGAGTGTTATGGGAGTCAAGTTCAGTAACAGTGTAGTGATGAACTCCCGAGGCACCCATCTCATGCTTCGGTACTTCTGCCCACATCTCGTGCTTGGGTATCGACCCACCGTATAATTCATTTTGTGGCACATCCGAATGCAGCTCCCCTGGAGCCACAGAGTGGTAGTAAGCCTGATATGCTCCGTCACCCTTTAAGTGGTCAGGATATGGAGCAAGTGCAGTTGCAGCTTCCGCTGTTTTCTTCTGCTTTCGACGTCTGACGAAGCAGAAGAGAGCAAACCCGATGATTGCACCGACGATGGCTCCCACGACAGCTCCGACAATGGCAGCTATTGGGGCAGATCCCTTGGCGTCTTTATCGCCAGACGAATCTTGATTGGTTTCACCTGTAGTGTTGGAGTTTGACTTTCTGAATAGTGCCTGGACTTCATTGGATGACCACTGGACAGAGTTGGTACCACTAGATTCATGTTAGCACCTTGGTTCATGCCGTCAGCTTGCCAATAGTTGGCTGGTGTTACATACGTTTGCTGATACCAGTCACCAACTATTTTTGCGCTTTCGTAGTCTTTGGCATCTGCATCGTAGTCCGTCTTCCAAGTCCAGTCCGTCATGTCGAAGAGACCAAGTCCTTGCGGCCAAGGGTCGGCACTTGTATATCCCGTCTTCCCATCTGCTCCCCCAACAGATAGCATTTGACGGCGGCCAACTACTGCGCAGCAATGATTTCTCCTTGGGTTTTTTGATTCGTAAGGGACTTGATTCCAGAAGAATCCCGGAATGCTCAGGACAAAGACGTCGTCGTAAGTTGAACCTGTTTCACTGTTGGTGCCGCCAAATACAAAACTAAACGTTCGTCAGCATCGACGATGGGGTCATCTAAGGTCGATGGGAATGCTCACATCTCGTAGGTTCCGTTGTTACCTTCGACACCAACACTGCAAAAGTTGCTACGGGGAGTAGGCGCGTTCCCAGTCGTCTTCTGCCAGTACCAGTCACTGGTTACTGGGTCCATGAATGTCAAGTTACTGAAGTCCTGCCACCCGAGGGGCTTCGCCTGATCAGGTTCAAGGCCCCATGTCGCTCCGCCCATTATGGTGATGAGACCGTTCGGACCGAAAGTCGGAATGTAGATTGCAGAGCCCCCCGTTAATGTGCCGTACTTGGAAAATGCATCGTTTGTCTCGTTCGTCCAAGACCTCGTGGTCATATTATAAGAGAGAATGCCGGGGAGTGGCTGCGAGTATGGGTTCGAGGTTGTCCAGCCCGATGATTGTCCTCCAAACCAGAACCCAGCGTCCGGGGTGCTAGCGAATGCGCCTCCTTCATTCCGTCGCAGTTCCTGGAAAAGTGTTGGATTTGCTGGCGTCTCCTTTGACCACGTGCCACCTCCTTTGCCGTCCGCTTCGAACTTCCAAGACGTGGGCTCTTCCAAGGGTGCTCCAAATGGGCTATGCCCGCCCCAGATCCAGAATGTATTCTTCGCGTCGTTCTTCCACATCGCCTGTTGATCCATGGTTTTCGGCGTCTTCGGGATCTCCCTAATCCTGACGCTGGTTGCGGACCATGACGTCGTCAAATCGATCGATAATGTGGAGTTCACTAGAATTCGCAGCGCATGAGAAGGTATCGGGGTTGATTGCTTCGTCGTTGAAGTTACTGACCTGCATTGGAGCCCCGCGACGTTATCGGGTTACCTCGCGCATCGAGCTGAGATACCTCTCCGCCATCGATGTAGGCATAATCGCCGAGAACCGCGACTACATGGCGAAAATGTTAGTTGTAGTTCATTGAGAAATGGTCGACATGCACTAATTACCTCTTGCCTCTGCTCGACGTAGGAAGATCTCTGGTGAGGGTACGTCTGATAATTCCCAAGCGCGCTTCGATTGCGCATTCGAGAAGCTAGGCAGCTGCAGCACACATCCCAGCAAAGCGCCCTTCACCCACGACTTGAAGTACATCGTTTCGCGAAATGGAAGAGCGCAAGAGAAGAGATGAAACGAGTGACGCGACGAAAAACGCCGAATGTAGCGGAAAGAGAGGAACGAGGAGGAGCAAGTCAAGTCTCAGCCATCAAACTCCCCGCCATGCCCGGAGGAAATGCTTCAAAAGCCCGAGAAAAGGGAATGCTGGCTTCTCGGTTGAGGCTGATGCTGCCGAAATTAACCTCAAACCCAAAACATGCCGAAAGCCTGCAGACCCATGACGCTAAATTAGAGGCGATGAGCCAAAATGTGCTGGTATTGGGCGAAATGGTTCGCGAAGGATCGTTAGCGCCCTTGGCATGCTGACGGGCTTCCAAGCCCTCGTCCCTCCCTTTCATAGCCTGGCGTTGACACGTTGATTATCAAGACCTAACAATGTCGTTTCACTGTCTATCAACGGCCTGTCAGAAGTAACGGCCTGGTAAAAATGAAGATCGTGGTGTGCTGGACTGAATGACACCCAATCGGTTGGCTCTCGCTCCAACCGAGCTTCCATTTTGAAACGGCCAGAGAAGCTCAAGATGAAGTCCTCGTACTCCGTAGAAGAGCGATGGCGGCAGATGGGCATTGATGAACCTGGGTTGTTCTGTGGACCAAACACACAGGCAACAGCTTAATCGATTTAAGGTGCAATAAGCCTTGTTCTGTCGGAGATCGTGGCCGATAGTGGGCCAAAAAGCGCCCGCGGAAATACGGGTAGTACATAATGTGAGATTATCATCCTTGTAACACAATCCCCTGACGATTTAGGGGCAGCTCTAGGGGCTATGTACAGAGTAGCGCGCCCTCGTAATACCTCTCTAATTCTTTGTTGGTTCGGCTCAGACAAGGAGGAAGGGATTCAGTCAGAATCGTTTGAAGTATATCCGATGTTGCTGTAGCCAATAAACTCATATTCTCGCCCACCACAAAACGTCAGCGCTTTCTCTAGCAATGGATACCCCGAATAGTCTTCATAATCCCAGTCAAGTCTGATGGCAACAGTAATGCTGCAGTTTCCTTACATGAACTATGTTCAAACTTTCCTCAAAGAGCGAAAGTTCTCTTTGAGGTTAACGAAAGATACGGTTATATCTAGAGTCCTCGACCTTCATAGCAAAACTTCAACGTCAGTCGAAATAAAGAGATATAATTATCAGAACACCATGGTATCAAAGCAAAAAACCTACATTGAACTTCACTTTCTACCCGTCATCACAACCCGCAATTTCTATTGATAGAAGCTCTGTCACAGGTGAACCTGAAAGATGGCCGACCCCGAGATTGGCAAAGGCCCAGCTGAACCAGTAGCACCAAAGACGGTCGAGAGTGTGCCTCAATTACCAGCTTAGGGCAGGGCGCCCGGGGAGAAGCGGAAGAAGGACGCCAAGAATGATCCAGGTGACAATTCCGCACATGAGCACGTTTCGTTTCCCTCATTTCCTGGCGAAGCGGGTGACGAGACTTTGGGGTAAAGTCAAAAGGGAAAACGGCCTGTTCTTGCAGAGACTGTAAAGGAAAGTCGCAAGGAGCAAGCGTCAGCAGAGGGAGAGGATGTACAGGAAATTCAAAGGGAACAACCACCAGTGGAGGTAGAATCAACAGAGCAAGAACCACAGAGCGAATGGAAGCAGCGGCCACGCAGAGCTTCATCGTTGCGGTCCTGGAACGGGAGATGAGGTTGTTCAATAGAGACCCCTAGACGTTCAATCAAAACCCATCCGACACGAGATAGAAATGAGTTCGATGACTCAGATATCTTCATATGCCGTAGATAAAGGATTAACTGGAGTCCCTTTCTGCTGTGCTCGCCTTCGCGACTACAGGTAGCCAACCTCATGCAGCCAGGAGTAAACTCATCCGCACCACCCAATACAACAAAACTCAACTGGCTGTTTCTCAGGTGAACTTTCAAGCCTGATCTACCATTGAGGTCTCATTCTATTCGGTCTCATCAACATCCGGCCGTCTTTCCGATATTAAAATAATGGGGAACTTGGTGATTCTATGGGACAACAGCAGACGATATGGCGACTACAAAACCAGCTCAAAAAAAAAAAACCTTTATTTCGTCTTAAAGATGCGAAATTAGGTAATTGTTTGAAGGGTTGACGGGGTCATTTTCTTTTCGCCGTATAGTCTTCATACGCAGTTGGGCGTCAATAAACGCTGGCTGAGCTCAACGCTTGAGCCACCGAGAGGGACGCGGGTTGTGCCGTAACTGAATCTTCATCTCTGAAGCCGCGGAAAATTCTCGCCCAGACAAAACAAACCAGTGTGTCACGACGATTCATGACTATGCCCCTGAGCAAGTAAGCCCGGATCTCGGCCGGAAAGAGAGTCAGGAGGCGAGTAACGGGTGGGAACTACCCAAGATGTGAAAGCTGAGCACAAATGAAACCTCGTAAGAAGTTATAACATGGCCTGGCTTCCCGCCGATATAGCTGTTTGATATCAACATTATCTGATCAGTTGCCGTGCAACTTTACCACAACTTCTACCTCTTGATTCACGCGTACTTTATGCTCCAGTTGGGAATATTGACCAGGATGCGTTCGACATTGACAGCTGCAATGCGGCTAGTGGTCACGATGATGTGCCTAATTGGCTTAACTCAATGTCTAAAAACGGTAGAAATTCCTTTTACACGCATGGCAGACCCTGAAAGCAAGTTTGTTGCGTCGATGCAAATTTCGGTTGGATCACCACCTCAACAAGTCGTGGCAATCTTCGACACAGGAAGTAGCGATCTCTGGGTCCCGCAGCTCAACAGCCGTCTTTGCAAAGACCGCTTAGCAACATGTACTGCCAGCAATGGGAAGAATTCCAGCGTCGCCGGTGCCTTCGATAACGCAAAGTCGACTTCGTTCGACGTCAACCGCTCTCCATTCGAGGCTACCTACGCGAATGGTGTTGAGATCCATGGGACCTTCATGTCAGAATCAGTGACTGTTGGGAACACATCAGTCTCCAATAACACGATGGGATTGGGTCAGACTGGCAAGTTGACCTCGCCTCTAATTGCCATCCTTGGTGTCGGTCCTTCGAGTTCAGAAGCGTCTGTTCTCGCCAATAATGCCAAGCCGTACACGAACTTTCCGGAGAATCTCAAAGCACAGGGGCTCACCAAGTCGTTGGCTTACAGTGTGTACTTGAATGACTTCAGTTCGTTCCCAGTTTGAATTCTGCGCCTGAAGCTTTGCTGATATCGTTTAGGGTCGCCTAGCGGAAGCGTCGTGTTTGGCGGGATGGACACTGCCAAATTCACAGGCCAGATGCAGATGGTCCCTCTCATCGGACAGACGTTATTCAAAACAAATGACTTCATCGTACCTTGGACCTCCTTCTCATTCTCGGCCGACAGAAACGCTAAACCTACCGCAATTGGTGGGAATAACTTCCCGCCTGTCCTCGTTGACACAGGTAATCCATCCCTATCTTTTCCGCCAAAGATCTTGGATCAAATCGGACCTGCAATCAATGTTCAAACATTGCAAGATGGGACAAAAGCATTGAGATGTAAGAGCGGCGACTCTGGTGCTAAGTTCAACTTTGAGTTTCAGACGGCCAAGGTCGAGGTTCCTCTATCGATGATCTTCATTCCCCTGATGAAGAACGGCGCTCCCGTCACCGACAAGAGTGGCAGCTCCCTATGTACTCTTCCGTTAGAGCCCATTGACAGCAACGTGGCATCTTTTGGTGCCCCCATGCTATCGGCTGTGTATACGGTATTTGACCTTGAGAACAAACAATTGGGGATGGCACAGGCGAAACTTAATGAGTCTGCAACAAGTATTCAGGAATTTGGGCCAGCTAGCCCAGCAAAGGGAACATCGAAACGGCCACGAGCGCAAAGTGGGCGCTTCCGACAGGAGTGATCACAGAATCAGTACATTTTAATCGATCGACTTGCTTGTCGGCTGGTTTCGCAAGCTCTCACGTTTTTTCTCAATCTTTGGACTCTTACTATGTAGCATTGTTGTATAGCCATCTTAGCGTGCGGTTGTGACACTTGTAAGATAAAGCGATTTGCAATATCCAGGCCATGAACGAGTCTTGAGAGAATTATGAGACTGTGAAGAGTCTACTGTGAAGAGTCTTTTAACATTATCCCGACTGCATCTTTCAACTCACGAATTTCCTTCGATGTTGTTGACATCAGAGGTGTCGGTGAGCCACGTAGTCCCAACAACCTTGGGAAAAAAACAGGGAAAGTTGAAATTCGTCGGTTTCTTGACCCAGAAAAATCACGCATCGACTGGCCTTGCTTGCGCGATAACTTATCAGCCTTCTCCATAATAGTGTTTAAAATCCACAGATAAATACGGAGTTGTTGTCTTGCAGCTCCTTGCACCACCAAATCGGAGCTTGGCCTCAGGAACCACACTAACTAGTGAGCGGGTACGCAATGCAACATGTAGATCAATTTGATACGGGATACAGAAGTCACCGTGCTTTTGTCCGGGTTTTGGTGGATCAATGAGAGGCAAACAAAAACAACAGCCACGTATGAAGACATCGTCATCTCAGCATAGAAATTTGTCTCTTTACCTCCTCTTCGTCGCCAATAGCCTGTCTTTCTACCTCAACCATCTTAGATCAGCCGCTGTTGATATTGGAGGTACGAAGGCAGGATACTCTTGGCATCACATCGCACAGCTTATCATACAACCCATCGACGACGCGCCAGGATATGTCTCCCGCATCATCAATCCACGACCCGGGCGAAAGCCAGCCGCTTCTCTCAAGGCATCGACGACGCACCGGCACATTTCAACTTCCATCGTTCAGTGGCCAGCGGCTCGTGTCGCCTCTATCCATGCGACGTGCCTCGCTGCAGGAAGTTCACCCACACCACGAAGACGTTGAACCGGTGCTGCCGGCCGCACCAGTCGCCGCTCATCAAGAGACCCGCCTACACAAGCCGCAATGGGCGCTTAGTGACAGGCCACCAAATACCTGGGCACAAATTCGTCATTACTGGCGTGAGGAGTTTGCGTGAGTACTAGAATCACCCATCTATGTATCACCTCACTTGTGAACATGGTTCCCCACCGGAGGTTGCCCCGCCGGGATCATTCACGGCAGTGAAGTTCCAGAACTAGTCCGATGCTGACCGCATACATCCATAGTGAATTCTGGGGTACCTTTATGATCTTGCTCTTCGGAGCAGGTGTCGAATGTGAGACTCGTCTGAATTACCAGTCAGCCGACATCCGCGAGAATGCCGGTGACTTCTTGCAGTGCCGTCTCGCCTGGGCAGCCGGCGTCGCTATGGCCGTATGGATGTCCGGCGGCGTATCAGGTGGACACTGCAACCCAACCGTGACAATCGTCTTGGCTCTCTTCCGCGGTTTCCCCTGGCGCAAGGTGCCCAGCTTCTTGGCCGCGCAGGTTTTGGGTGCCACTCTCGCCAGTCTTGCTGTCTACCTGAACTACTCCACCAGCATCGCGGCATACGAGGGCGGCACTGCCCGTACTCTGGTTGGCGAGCACGCTACTGCAGGCCTCTTTTTTACCTTCCCTAAGTCTGGACTTCCTCATGCCGGCGCTTTTTACACCGAGTTCCTTGCCTCAGCCGCGCTGGTGGCCATCGTGTTTGCCCTGGCTGACAAGAACAACCTTTCGCCTCCCAAGGGTACGCAACCCTTCGCCATGTTCTTGGCTCTGTTGGCCATCGGCTCCGCGTTGGGCATCAACACTGGGTATGCGATGAACGGTGCTAGAGATACCGGCCCGCGTATCGCGTTGGCGATCGTTGGCTACGGCTCAGATGTGTTCACTCATGACTCTTATTACTGGCTGTGGGCGCCATGGGCTGCTGCTATCGTCGGCGGTATCGCTGGCGCCTGCGTGTATGATGGCTTCATCTACACTGGGCGTGACTCTCCGTTCAACATCCCGAGGAAGGAAGATGACTGAACCGCGCTGTGTCGGAGGTTTACATTGATCCTAGGATCTTAGAGCGAAGTCGGTAATTCAAGGTTGCGTGGGAAGTCTCGACAGGTTACGAATTATTATAAAGACGTACGGAGACGAAGTTGTAGCAGGTTGTGATACTTGAGATAGGCGTAAATAATGACGAGTTTCACATCCATGTTGCATCAGAAGACTAGGTACTTAGTGAACAATGTAGATACTTGACCTTACTTAGGAATATATGTCTGAACCCAGGCCCACGATCAAATAGCCTCTCCAACTTCACCCAAGTGGTACGGAACATTCGGCTTCTTACGAGCAGTAGGCGAAACTAGTCCGTGGGGATTTCATCTAATATATTATATGGAATGAGAAGTTTTCATCGACTATGATTCATGAAGTTAATTCTCCAACTCTCTTGCACTTCATTTCGAAATATTGATGTGTGCGTTATGACTTTATTGATGTGGGCTGGATCACCTCCGACTTCCAGTTGCTCACATGTATGTCAGCCGGTGAAGAGCCTTTCACATCATCAACCAACTTCAACTGATGAAGTCCGGACGAAGTTCATGCAGTGCCTTGTGCTAAGATCTACCTTAATTGTCTTAGGATGATTTTGCTTTGCACTCGTGAGCGCATCTAAACACCACTCTCTCCAACCCTCTGTTTCTCAACCTTAACTCGTGCAGCTATTGTAGCACACGGTCTCAACACGAGGCAAACGATGTTGTTCTTAACCACGACTAGCAAATCCATTGCGTCTACTACTACCAATCGGTCTTTGGCGGTTACATAACTGCCAAGCCGGGGAAAACTTTGGCGCTGTGGCGATCAGTCCGAATGGAGGAGAAGTCTGGGGAAACCAAGATCAACATGCACTTCGATGGAAACCTGCGCGAGTGTTAAGAGAGCTGCAGCCGAAACCGAGGGACCGCAATTGGTGCGCATCACATGCGATCCGCCGGCTGAATGCAAAGCTTTCGAAAACGTTCGCGAACAATCTTAATTCGGCCCCGGAGCCGCAAAATCCGTTGATGTCTAGGTCGGCAAGGGGCTTGTAGCACAGGATCATACTCTCCAAATTACTTTAGGCAATATGAGAGGTAGTAATGGAGGCGGTAAACCACGCGGCACAAACGGCAGTCTGCATGCAGCATAGTCCAGTTTCAGTTTTGTTAACCCACGAATGCCAGATTGATTAGATTCGTATTCTAATGCGACTCTGTCGGACTGTCTCGCATTGGCGAGCAACTGCCGGCGTGCAACTAATAGGGAACAACTCGCATTAAACTATTAGGACGGCCAATCACTACCAAGTAAGCGTACAGTTCTTGGAGATATAAAGATCGGACGACTGCCGACAGCTACTAATCAAGGGGTTCCTGCTTAAGAGACTCAAGCTTATTTCGCCATTCGTAAATATTCCCGAAGAACGCCAAGATGATGCTTAAAGCCAATGTGGGCGTGGTTTCAACCACTCTTTTGCTCCTCGCGTCCGTGACGGATGTCGTCGCCCAGACATGCGACCTCCCGTCTAACTACCGCTGGACGTCGACCGGCGCGCTGGCCACCCCCAAATCCGGATGGGCCTCGCTCAAGGACTTCACCACTGTCACTTATAACGGCCAGCACCTCGTATACGCCTCTACTCACGACCAAGGCTCGACATGGGGCTCAATGAACTTTGGCCTCTTTTCCGACTGGTCCCAGATGGGCTCGGCGTCTCAAAATGCAATGACCCAATCCGCCGTCGCGCCCACCATCTTCTACTTCCGTCCCAAGAACATCTGGGTCCTTGCCTACCAATGGGGCCCGACCCAGTTCTCCTACAAGACGTCTAGTGACCCTTCCATCGCGAACGGGTGGTCTGCGGCGCAGCCCATGTTCTCCGGAACCATTTCCGACTCCAGCACCGGCCCCATCGACCAGACACTCATCGGCGACAGCACCAACATGTACCTCTTCTTCGCCGGCGACAATGGCAAGATCTACCGCTCTAGCATGCCCATAGGCAACTTTCCGGGCAACTTTGGCACTGCCTCGACGGTAGTCATGAGCGACACGACCAACAACCTCTTCGAGGCCGTCCAAGTCTACACCGTCAAGGGCAAGAAGCAGTACCTCATGATTGTCGAGGCTATCGGCGCCAACGGCCGCTACTTCCGTTCATTCACGGCCAACAGCCTCGGCGGAGCGTGGACGGCACAGGCCGCGACCGAAAGCAACCCCTTTGCAGGCAAGGCCAACAGCGGTGCTACCTGGACCAACGATATCAGCCACGGTGACTTGATTCGCAGCGATCCCGACCAGACTATGACTGTCGACCCATGCAACCTTCAGCTGCTGTACCAGGGACGCGCCCCTGGTTCCAGTGGTGACTACGGACTACTGCCCTACCGTCCCGCAGTTCTCACGTTGCAACGCTAAACTCCTCTTCTCCTTGGCTTCAAGTCACCCCTCAGCTAGCACCAAACCAAAGCAAGGAAACAGTGAACCGCATCAGCTTAGGGGCAATCTTTCGCAACAGGCGACCTTCCTTTCATGATGTAAGTATTGAAAAGACATACATACAAAACTAGGCTAGGGGGTCTCTTCAGATGGCCTGCCGTTGAACATAGATCCATCATAGCCACGCACTCTCGTCTCGAATTTGCTAGTGATCAAATGCCAACTCCTTATAAGCGATTCCTTACTTCCTGGAGTCCTGGCAGGGCTTATGAAGGTCGTGCCCCCTCTATAATCACTTTCTTCCGGCTATCGAGCTTTCCTGGCTATAAGCCACCTTTCCACCACCTCATTTGTTAAGACTGCAGTGCCATCTGTTTGCGATATAGTACCATTCCTGAGGATGCCAAAGCCTCAATGTTGTGAAACACACGTAACCGGTTTGAGGGATTTTTACGAGTACATGTACACACAGTATCTATGACGCTGATATAGGACTTCATGGCACAGGATCAATGACTGACGGAAGCCGGTGGAACTGTCACGCAACGTCAGCTAAAACAACGTCGTGTCGTATTGCCTTGGCGAATCGGCAGGCTATGTTTACTTGCAGTCACCTATGTCTGATCACCCGCTTTTTCTGACTACCATCGGATATTCACATACACCTACCCCTCACTTCAATTGTGATAAGAGAGAGTCTTTTGCCTTCCATGATCGCTTTCTGAAGCGTGGTCTACCTACCTTGTACTAGAACTCAACTCCAATACACGTTCTCTTCCAGAAGCTCCAGTCCCTTTCGTTTTGTAGTATCCGATTCGGTAGCACAGACAATACGAAAGATCACCAACATGCGGCTGCTTCACACAACTACGTTCCAACTGAGCGAGTTCTTTGACACAGATATTCCTCCGTACGGCATTTTGTCCCACACTTGGGAGCCCAACGAGTTGACAGTCAAAGACCTCCAGAAGAACGGATACAGCGGGGGAATCATAAAGCTTGACGGCATGTGTCACGTTGCTCGCCGACAGGAACTGGATTGGATCTGGATCGACACTTGTTGCATTGACAAAAGCAGCAGCGCCGAACTATCCGAGGCCATCAACTCTATGTTTGAATGGCACAAGCGGGCGGCGGCGTGCTACGTGTACCTCGACGACGTTCTCGTCAATGACAAGCTTGCGTACAAAGCCTCATCCTTTGCCAACAGTTGATGGTTCACTCGCGGTTGGACGTTGCAGGAGTTGCTAGCAGCGTCCAAGGTATACTTCTACGACCAGTGTTGGAATTGCGTCCATCAAATCTGAAAGGCTGATGAGGAAGACATCCATCCATTGCTGATACATTCAGAGGAGACACAACGGGGAAACTTGAGGTCCAATGAAGAGAGACCCCGTCACTTGAACTTAATGGCACTGAATGTGCAACGGGGCCCAAGTTTAACCGTGAGGGTACCTTCGACATGAGTTGCAACAATTTCATTCGGGTTCTAAGCGATATGACGACGATAGATATCGCGGCCCTCTCCACACAATTCGACCTTGTGCATCAGAACTTCTCCGTGGCGAAGAAGATGAGTTGGGCTACGAGAAGGGAGACTACACGCTTGGAGGATAAAGCTTACTCCCTCATGGGCCTGTTCGATGTCAATATGCCGTTGCTATACGGGGAGGGAGAGAAGGCCTTCTTTAGGCTTCAGGAAGAACTTATCAAAAAGTCTGACGACGAATCAATATTTTCTTGGGGTTTCGGGGAACCTGCTCGGTTCGTGGGCGGACTGTTCGCCCGATCTCCCGCCGATTTCTTTTGTACATCCACTTGTCAAGCTCATACCAGAGAACACATCGCTATTCCAACAGATCCTGCACAAAGAGCCATGGGGGTGGGAAGACAAGATAGAGTGGGGTGGAGGTCAGCTCAGTGCTTCATGGAGTAAGGGTGAGTTCGAGCCCAGCATTCGATTGAATGCAGACCATGCTCTTCCAGCTGTGGTTCTATCAATCCTTGGAGGCATACAAACATCCAGAGCATTAGAGAGGCGGCGTTTGGTGCAGGCAGCGAGCCAGATAAAGAGATAGATGCGATTAGCATTATGCGAAGTCCATGGCTAAATGTATGTACCTACAGACGGCTGGCTTTGCTATTGGACGTAAAAGACTGTGGCTCCATACCTTTAAAGTACATAACTTAGTAGAATTGAAATCTTGCAGCAATTCATCAATGTTAAAACCACAAATACTAGGCTATCTCACACCTAGTCAACGGACTTGTAAGACTCTCTGACACATCGTCGAAGCGACGCGAGATCGGCCAAAAGGGATTTCATGTTCAAAGAATACTGGAAGTGTGATTCAGGGACCCTTATGTCATTTTGTACGAAAAATCGCTCGGAAGCTATATTGCAGAATTCAATGCCATCTTAACAGTGACAGAAAGACGTTCTGTTTTTCGATTTGATGAACCCATTCCCCGCACATAGGTACATATATGGAAGCACGCAGCGGCTGTTTCATTTCCTGCCCGTTCGCAGTGATCAGACCAACAGAGTCAACACTGAAAAGCACCGGCAATTCCCGATTACATGACATCCGTTCCATGGCTAACGTATGGCGGTAGATCGCCTCGCGCCTTCGTCTCAGCCGCGAAGGGTAACGTGGTCGCACGCCGGCATCTCCCCACCTGAGTCCGGTGAAATGGCGCCAAAAATAGGGGTCTCGGACACGCACAAAGGCGTGCGGGGGCCGCTAGTTCGACGACCGGGCCTCCGTTCCTGGGGCCCGGGCGTCTGGCGGCAGTCCGGTTGCTGGGAACTAACATGAGATGGGCTTCGATCCCTCAACATCGGACTGTTCATTGCGTCCTGTCTGATTTTCTTTTGATAAACTATAAACTTCTTCAATATCCTTTCCTTGAAGTGCATCTGAGTTCCCTTGTTCCCTTGACTGCTATACCAGCTAATTCCCTGTATTTACTTCTACCTAATAACCTTCAGACACAATGGCGAGCCCTGCTGGAAACATCTCCTTCGAGGGTAGGTCACGGACATCATGCACAATTGCGGCTTGAGTACTGACGAATTTATCCAGACTACCTCGGCCTCTCTGGCTGCATCTTCGAGTGGGCCGACAGCTACGACTCCAAGGATTGGGATCGTCTCAGGAAATGCATTGCCCCTGAGCTTCGCGTAAGTTGCCACGCGATTGACATTTCACACCGAATATTTTGCTAATTGACTGCAGATTGATTACCGCTCCTTCCTCGACAAGATCTGGGAGGCCATGCCTGCGGAGGAGTTCATCGCCATGATCTCGGACAAGTCCGTCCTCGGCAACCCCCTCCTCAAGACCCAGCACTTCATCGGCGGCACCCGCTGGGAGAAGGTGTCTGAGACCGAGGTCATCGGACACCACCAGCTCCGCGTGCCCCACCAAAAGTACACCGACGCCTCCCGCAAGGAGGTGGCCGTCAAGGGCCACGCTCACAGCTACAACAAGCACTGGTACAAGAAGGTCGACGGCGTTTGGAAGTTCGCTGGCCTCGCTCCCGAGATCCGCTGGTCAGAGTATGACTTTGAGGCTGTCTTCGCTGATGGACGTGACTCTTTCGGTACTGAGGAGACGACCGACAAGAAGAACGATGTGTCTGTTGTCGAGAAGGAGCTGAAGCTTGCCGCTGCTGTTTAAATAATATCAATGTAATGAGGGAAAACCTCTGGTTATGGGAACGGCGAATCGGAACACGGTACCTACTTTGTATAATTGGGCATATGAGGCGTTGTATCAGGAATAGATACAGCTGGTATTTTAAACAAAATACGTGCCACACAGATTCTTGATTCCAGTGTCCGCTTAATAAAGCGTTACCAGAGCCCCCAAGGTAGTCCAATCTTGTTTGCAGGGCCCACATCGAGTGACCCTCTTTTTCTAAACGAGTGACTCGCTCATGCATCCTTCCTCTTCCCATCACGTTCCTACTCAATAACCCATCCGGCGTTAGAAGTACTCAAGTGAGCGAGCACAAGAACAATTGCGCACTATCTATGTAGATTAGTTTGCTTTTCATATGGACTGTCTTACTAACTCCAGCCTGTCAGGGAATTGCATCTGAACTAGCCTCCAAGATGCTGTTGACGATCAACGTTCACGGCAAGAGCCTCGCCATTCGGACGATCTACGACTCTGAGATAGAGCAGTGTAGAATTTCAGGCAAGGGTGGCTCAGTAGTAAAATAACGGAGGTCGTGGTGCTTTTAGAGACACCAAATATCCGATCCTCAAAGATGCTATGCTTGTTCGAGGCTGAAAGCTGGGTAGGAAGGTACCACAACAGTCCGTCAAGAATTTGTTGTCTTTCGATGCTTCATCTCAGGCACTTACCCAAGAAATCGGCGATATGAAGCTAAAGATCATGCAGAGTTCCTTAATTAGCACTTGAGTGCAACATAGCTTTCATTCTGTTCAAAGTCGTGCGGTCACATTTCAGCATCAATAACTGGAGCGCAAGATATCACTAGCCCTCAATTATAAGCCTTGACCAAAGAGAAGTCCTCGAATCAATGACGTGTCAAATATTGAGTATCCGCAATGATTGGCAGCCAGGATTTCATCATCAAGTCGTGACGAAAGACCATGGTTGTGGAGGTAAAAGCATTGTTAAAGGCATTGTTCCAGTCTAGACGTGGTCAGGGGGAAAGATTTTTCAGTCATTCTAGGCTGAATGTGGAGTTGCGACTCCGTCTTTGATCCTCACACTGGGCATACAGGATCCTAGAGCGTTCTGGATAAACGCTGGGTTTCCCGCTTCCCAGAAATCCGAGTTGATCGGAAACCCACCAACATGATCCGAAAGGCAAAGCGCCAAGGCCCGTTCCGGTCCAGAACTTATTTGTGTCACCTCATTTTTGCCATTTGGTTGGAGCCTGTTGGATTTATTCGTAACAGTCTTTACAGACAACAGGGGATGCGAGCTCCTGATGGAAGCAACTAGATTAAACATAGGCGGCAGTGAGGTCTTCGGATTTGCAACCCCAAGGATTTACACGATGTCTAGATAAGGAAGCTGTGAAAATTCGTCTGCTTTTTCGAAGGGAACTCGCATTATGCTCGTTTCAAGGAGCGACTGATCTGGATTGCAGCTCCAGGAACACTGGACCTCCAGGGGAGGGTTACCACGAGAGGTGCTCCTACTTTGACACATAAATCCAGGAACTCAAGTTTATAAAGATGACATCCTACTAACTATTATTTCCTGCCTTCGTTCTATCACGCTTCAGTTCCTCGCCTTTGACTTCGCTCATTGTCTTATTGACATTCGTTCCTCGCCAGCCGAGCCATTCGTTCTTTTGACGAACAGGCATTCAGACTCTTCTCAACCCCAAACCTTTCATCAGAATTATTCTTGTACTTCAACAAACTCAATCTCATCCTCAAAATGAAGTTCTCCCTTGCCGCCGTCGTCGCAACTGCCGCCCTCGTGGCAGACTCCGTCTCCGCTCACTACTTCTTCGAGAAGATGGTCGTCAACGGCGTCGCCTCGGCTGACTACATGCGCGCCAGCACCCAAGGCTACCAGCCCCAGGCCAACACAATCATGACCAGCAACACCTTCCGCTGCAACACGGGCGCCCAGGCCGCCAAGCAGAGCGCCACTGTCGCCGCAGGCTCCTCGGTCGGGTTCCAGATGAACGCCGGCGCAAAGATCCAGCACCCCGGCCCCCTCCAGGTCTGGATGAGCAAGGCCACGAGCGACCTCTCGAGCTACGACGGCTCCGGCGCCTGGTTCAAGGTGTACGAGTCTGGCCCAACCAAGTTCCCTCTTACCGGCGCTGCTTCTGAGTGGGGCGTGTACAACAAGAATGTCATCACCTTCACTATCCCTAAGGATCTTGCTGCTGGTGACTATTTGGTCCGCCCTGAGCATCTTGCTCTTCACAAGCCCTCTGGTACCGAGTTCTACTTCAACTGCGGCCAAATCAAGGTTACTGGCTCTGGCACCAAGACTCCCACTGCTACCGCCAAGTTTCCTGGTGTCTACGACTCCAATACTGCCGGTCTTTCGCCCAAGTAAGTGCCCGCAGCCCGACTGATTGATTGCTTTTTGAAGTAGCACATCTAATATCTATCGATAGATTCTCGCTTTACCAAAACGCCAAGTCCTACCCCATGCCTGGCACTACTCTAGTCACCCGCGAGCTTTCCCTCCCCATGAGCCGCATCACCCGCGGTATGCGCTCTGCCGAAGTCCAGCAGGAGTAACTTCATTTCATCAAGTCGGACAGATGATAAGCGGTGCTCGTTATGCTAAGCGGACAGGATGCCCTTGAGGAATGGCGGACTGAGCGGGATGGCCCAACGAACGTACTTGTCTCACCATTTCAATGTACTTACCTTTGAAATTTTTTTATACTATGTAGATACTCAGATTCAGGCTTTTCGGGCCACTCAATACTCATAAAATGCGCTTGATGCCAATGAATTTGTTTCCCAAGGTTCTTCTGATTCACTGAAAGCAAGTTGCCCTCTCAGCTCCTCACCTTGTATCGTATCCTGAAAAGGGGGCAAAAGGTGATGTGAACCGAGACAGCTGCATCGCGGAATCATGGCACCCTGGTAGAGTTGAAGTACCTTTCAAATAACTAAAGTAGTAGAAAATATTTTGATACATACATATACGTGGCGAATCTCCACGGCCTTCATCGTAACACAGTCGTCAGTCGTCAGGCTACAGTCGAGAGCTCCGCGCAGTCTGCGACAGGGTCAATTACTACTACACCACATTTTGAATAACCAGAAGCTCAAGATTTGCGTGATTTCCCAAGATACAAAAGGCTTTCCCTCGCCATTGAGGTGATCACCCGCAAGCTTGGGTGGCTCAGAGAAGTCGTGAGAGCTTCAGTTTTCTGAGCTGGACTGCTGACGAAGATTACGTCACGTGGATATTGCGGGTCTGGATTCATGATGACATAAGACGGTGGCATTGGTGGGGCAAAGCTCGGCAGTGCACGGAGCAGCAGGGACCCGAGCCGTCGACGGGAACTTGGAGAGCTCCGACGGAGTCTGGCGGATCGCTTTCGCAATGCTTCACTTGACAACAACTTGAGCATTTCACCTCGCGCGGACGATTCGGACTGTGAATCAACCCTTGATCCCTAGAAGAAGTCAGTTCTAAGGTCGAGCTCAAGACCTTGCTTTCGATCGAGCAACTACATCCAGCAACCATCCGCTCGAACCGGCCCTCAAACCACCATGGACTACGTCGACAAGCGACTCCAGGAGGAGGCAGTGAAGCTGCACGTGGAGCAAGGGCAAGTCGACGATCCTCCTCTGCTCCCAACAGAATCTAGCTGACCTCCTTGATCCAATAGTAATGCCTTCTTCACCCCCCTCAACATCCTCTTCCTCCTCGTCAACTTCTACACAATCTACGTCCTCCTCCGCCCGACCCCGCCAGCGGTCCTCCCGAAAGAGCCGGCCGCGACCGTCTTCCGCGTGTTCAACCCGCGAACCCTCCTCCCCTTCACTGGCGAGAACGACATGCCTATCTACTTCGCCGTTCGCGGCCGCGTCTTCGACGTTTCCCACGGTCGCAATTTCTACGGCCCCGGCGGGCCCTACTCCAATTTTGCTGGGCGGGATGCTTCCCGTGGCCTGGCGCTCGGCAGCTTCGATGAGGATATGTTGACGAAGGACCTGGACGGCCCGTTGGATCCGCTTGAGGGGTTGGGGCCGGACGAGATTGAGGCGCTTCAGGGTTGGGAGGAGAACTTTGACAGCAAGTATCTTGTCGTCGGCAGGCTTACTGCGGTCGGCGATGAGGAGAAATAGAATCACTACCGGTGAACCTGGTAGAATTGATAACGTATGTTCATTTCGCAGGACTTGAATAGACCCAAACACCAGAAGGGAGCTGTTTCTGACAAGGTATCGCAAGATTCTCGGTGTCACTCGACTCGAGGTGGGCAACTAGCATCCAAGCCACCTACGTTTGTTCGACTCTTTGTGCAGTGTTAGACAAGCTGTCCCGGACCTCTTCGATTCCCGAATGTTACACAAGGAGATGAACATATCAGATATGGCAGTACGACATCGCGTACTTGATAGCCAGTTAAGCGCCCACGGCTCTTCCGAATGATTCGAGCTAGATTGACAGCCGGTCCGAAGAGTCAGATTCCACAGCATGCACTGTCTCTCTTCTATTGTTAAGACACAATGACATGATGCAAGGGAGCTGCGTGGGGAGGCAGCCTCCAAAAAGGGCCGCTTTCAGGTTAGTCAGATTATAGCGTCACTAAGAGCCAGTGGGGGAAACTGTAACTCGTGAGTGAGATGAAATGATGCTGACGGCCTGACAAAAGTGGCTGGACCCCTCCCTCCCCCTGTCGGTTTAGGCACTGTTTCCTTTCTCTTCCCCTCGAGGCTCGTGGTGAAGCTCCGGCGCAGGCAGCGATATTCAGGAGATTGGATTCGCGTGGCTTGACGGTTATTTCAGGCCGTTGTCGCAGCCTCCGAACGACCGTGCCACGACTCCATGATTGATCCTTCGCTCTGGACCCTGTCTTTGCCCACGGCCAGTACCTTGCGTGTGCACAATTTACTGCCTCCGGTTCCAGCGGCATCCGGGTTGCCGGGGAAGCTGATCCACGGGGGTTGGGCATGAGATGAGATGAAGTACCCGAAGGTGTGTTCATGTCAACTTTCTGCTGATGGTCTCAGGCAAGGTGTTCTGTAGTGACGATTCACTAGACTGGTGAGACGGTCTGTCTCAACCTGGATGCAATTCATACTTTTTTCCACCTCTCGACGATGGCACGATGATGCGCGTTACTCTCAGGATGGGCAAGATATGATAACAGAGGGCCGTTTCATTCTTGTTCTCGTCCTCTTTCAAATGGATTACTCTTTTCAACAAAACCAAAGGAGCACAGCAGGACTGGGTGTGTGGCTGACGGTCATCCAGACGACCCAGACGACTGGGGCTTGTGAACCTCTAAATTTAGCCCGGTTCGTCGAATCCGGCAAGGGTCGCAGATCCTCCGACGCTATGCTCCAGTCTGCTTCGTTGTCCCGTCCCGATTACATGTCTTCGATCTCACCTACGTTCTCCATAGAGTAGCATTTTTCACAGTTTGCTCAAGATTTTCCCTGCGGAACGTCCAGAAGCAAACACAGCCCCTAGGCAAGATTACTTCGTGCCTCGACCAGTCTCTTGTCCCACCATGCATCTGATTCCCAATTTGTGTCTATGAATGGTTGCATGTACCTGCGCTGATGCTCAGCCTTCAGCCCTACATAGAGGCGAAAAGAGAAACGAACCAAACATCGTCGAGTAATGGCAAAGAAAGAAGGGAAACAAGCTTCCCTCCCCCTAGTCCCATCATCTGTACTGCACCGCTGCATTACCACCCTCCGTCATTTTCTGCGCGCTCTCCCCGTGTCCATTGTCTCCATCTGAGAAGTATCCAAGCCTCAGCCTCCAATCCGTCAATCCGTCCGTCGTTGCGCTAGCCACTCCAGCCATTCCTTTGCTCTAGCTCGGCTCTTGACTAGATTCATAATCGTTGTTCCGGACAGTTCCTTAAAACCCTTCGTCACGCCTCCTTCATCATTCCTTCGCACTAAGTATCTTGCGATTTGTTTCCCCCACTCGCGGCCGAACTTGCTTTGAACCAGCACCCCCTGACCATCCATCATCACCATCCCTGACCAGCAGATCCGATTCCGTGGAGACAGCAGGAACTCTTCAGACGACAGAGCCAACAACACCGAGATAGACATCGTTTGGGTCTGGAAAGGTTCTCAATTGAGCGAAATACGTGTTAAACTTTCATCAAGGCTGGTCGAGTGCATGACGCGCATTGCCGATCGACCCATAGCTCTACGGCAGCCACCGCCCAAAAGCGATCGATCCATCGGCCCCCAAAGTTTCTGGTTCTCAACCGTCAACACCATAGACTTCGAGACCTTGGCGGAGAGAGCGGCACACTCCCCTCGAATTCTTCACAATGGCGTCAGCGCGGAGGAGCACATCAACGAGGACCCTGCTGAGCATTCTACTCCTCGCAGCTCCAGCCCTCGCAAAATACCAGAACAATTTTGATCTATACCCAGCAGCCGCCCAACCATGCCTTTACGCCTCCTCAGATGCGAGCAAATGCGATGGCGACACGGTAGCGACGATGAACAAGTGTCTCTGTAGTAATGACAAGGGCAAATTCGTCACAAACGCCGCAACTTGTCTAGGAAAAGAGGCAAAGGATACCCTGCGCACAGTATACCAATCCATGAGCACCGCCTGCTCAGACTCCAAGACACCGATATCCCTGACCGAAGACCAATTCCTCAACCTTGGCGCGACAGGCGCCACGGCGTCGCTTTCAGTGACATTATCTACCTCAAAGACAGCTACGCCTACTACCTTGATGACTACCACCACAGGCGGAGCAACCATCACTTTAACATCCACACCTACACCCACGACATCGACCGCACCACAAGAAGAAAAGGGCCTTAGTACAACCGCGAAAATCGGCGTCGGCGTCGGTGCAGGCGCGGGAGCGATCGCCCTCGTCTGCCTCGCCGCTTTCATCTGGCGCATCAAGCGAAGCCGCGACGCCCACGACGAGTCTCACCGCCCCATGCTCGGCGGCGGCATCGGTGCCACGGGCCACAACAACCCACAACACGGGCCCTTTACGGAATATAGCCCGCCCGCAAGCGTCGCCGGGGCCGGAGCGGGTGGATACGCCGCATACACTGGCGCACAAGAATACAAAAACGAGAATAAGCAGCAGCAATCCGGCTGGAGGCCCGTCTCCGAGATTACGGCTACGAGTCCCGGAGGCCAAACATGGGCGACGAATTCTCCTCAACCACCGTATGCGCAGCTCCAGCCTCAGCAGCAGCAGCAGCAGAACCTAGGCGCTTGGGGTCATCACCCACAAGCCGCTTACGTTCCTCCGCCGCAGGAACCTTCTCAACAGGAGGGCGTGTTCGAGCTTGCTTCGATACCTGTGACGTCACAGCCTCCTTCGCAGGTGCCGCAGCCGCCGCCTGGCGCTGTTGAGATGCCGGCTACAGAGGTGCAACTGCAAGCCCCGCGATATCAGTACCCTTCGCAGAGGTAGTGAGGGGCGCATGACAGGAAATGATCAAAAATAGTCATTACGGGGTGTTTGAGGGGAAATATTCGCTGTTATGATACTTTGGGAAGCATTTACACTCACGGGGGCTCGGTGTTCTGGTTCCTGGTCGGGATTTAGATAGCGCAAGGGGAACGAGATGGAAAAGTCATGAAATATACATCTTTTCGTCCACAACTACGTCCCACAAGGTGCTACACGATTGACTGCATCTTCCAAAGATCCCCATGATCGCCCGTGTGACATACGTAAGGTTCTGATGAGGAAACGATTTCCTCGACTCACTGCTACTGATTGCATTGATGTTAACTTGATCCACTGAGGGCCACTACCTGCAGACCCTGTCTCGATGCAAGTTACCAAATCTACCTACCTATTAGATGTATTCAAATCCTAGCATGTCTAGAGCGGTTTCGAGGCTAAAATATTGTTCCCAAGATGGGTTTTGAAACTATTCCTCCGAGCCGCCGCCCGAGCTACTACCAGCACCTCCATCAAGCTGTACGGCAGAGCTGGACGAGCCACCGCCAGAGCCGCCAGATTGGCTATAGGCCGGGCCGTTGGGGTGTTTTCTCTTCGCGGCAGCCTCGGCCTTTTTAAGAAAGTTTTTCTAGTGTCTCTATCAGCCCTGTAAACACTTCAATGTTGTCTTTCAGAAGACGGGTGGGTCGCTCGTACATCGTTACCTGACTCCCTGATGTGAGCCGCAGCCTTCGCGTCCATCTTTTCCTTGACCATTGTGGGTATTTTGAATGTTGTGTTTGTCTATTATCGAAGATCGTGTGATGTTGATATGCATTAGATTTTGATTGCGTTTGTAGTGATGGTTGAGTATTAGGCAAATTCTTTGGACTTTATAGTATCTGAGATCTCCAGCAAGACGAACTTGAACGTAGACTTATCAGTGTATTAATCACCGTGTCACCACCCCTCTTGAGGAAATTTCATATCGTGATTCACCGTCTACTCACGCAATACTCTCTGACTTATTCACACGCTATAGATGGCGCAGACATAAGTTTGAGGGAAAAGTCGAATGCGGTGCTGATTTTCGTATTGATATTGACTAGGTAAACGAGCCTGACAATGGGTTAAATACACAAGATGGTTCGGTTTTGAGTACCATACGTGTGCGTCGGGCTGAGACTAGAGCCCGTTCGTAGAGTCCCTCCTAGAATGAGCAAATGTATTTGTAGATGACCCCTCCACCAGTGTCGGTCTCTGCCAGTACTGGCTATCGTTTGCTTTCATATGTCTTCAACTCTCATACATGTGTCTTTGCAGGGCTAGAATATCAATGCGGGAGTCTGCTCGGCATCGTTGCCTAAGTACTTGAGTCGTCCCTGGCCCCCTGGGCTGGCGCCCATGTTCGTATGAAAATTCTTGTTTCTACTTTTTCGTGCCTCGACCAGAGTTGTTTCCGGCATTCCCACTAGCCTGTCCGCCTGAGTTGGACGAGCCTCCTTCAGAACCTTGGCTACCATTTTCAGAGCCAGGTTTCTTTTTCTCATCCCAACCCGTCTCCGACTTCGTTGACACTGTTATTCTCGTGAGAAGCACCCTTGTAGTACTGCGCTCTTGGGGTCTCCTTTCAACGTACTACAACAGGCTTGTGAAATTTACCCTACTGAATGTGTCCTTAGAAGTGATGGATATGTTTGCTCGACGCAGGTTAATTGTTTCGCTGGCCCTGACAGTCGTGATACGGTGATGGCAATGTGAGATCAGAGGTACCGACAACTAAAAGTTGACTACATGTATACCTCATCATAAGCTCAACTATTTATACCTTTCTTTCTGGCATAGGCAGCGTGTTCAAATTCATTATCCAGCATAGCCGTGTTTTGCAAAGTTGAGGGCTTCGAACACAGCTCGAAGTGGATTGCTTGCACGCCTTTCACGTGGCATAGAATATGACGTGTCGAAATGGGACCTGTTCAGCACAAACAAAGCAACATCAAACATTTCTAGGGCTCCAGAGGTAACACGAGTTACCTTACCGCGATATATGTGCGATGGTGAATGCTTACCTGGCCCGCTCAGCCGACCTCTTCAAGTTGAACAGCTCCTTGTTTGACTTCCTTTCTTGTTTTGTTCAAACACTACCTTGCTGAAAACGTTTGAACAACTGACCTCGATCTCCCTGTTGCCAGGTGGAGGCAATCTTCGACTTCCAACAAGTCTTGTTCGTGATGGCCGAACCGCGCATAAATCCACGTTGTGGCCAAGCATTTGTTGATCCTGCCCTCCACAAGAGGTTTCTCCACAAGATGCTCTTCTCTAGGGCTTTTCTCTCAACTCAGCGTACTTTGGAGTATCTGACAGCAGCTTCAACGCAGGCATGATCCGTTTGAAGTCGTGAAGATTCACAAAAACGTCTGACCGGTCTGAACGTCCATCTACCGTCTCCGCCGCTTAGGGCTAATCAGGGCCTATAAAGCTTAAGAAAAAATTAAAAAACAAAAGAACTACGGGGAATTCCAATATAATACTGGAAAATGTTTATCTTAATAATTAAGATTCTATCTAATAAGGGCGCCGGACGGCGGCGCCTGACTAAGAGCGGCGCCCGTATACTGATTCGTAGCGCCTACATATTAAATGACTACCTTTTTTCTTAATATTATTTATAAAGTTAGCTACTAATCTTAATAGCTTATTCTATATGAGATACAATTCTTAAAGTTATTTATTTTCATAAGCTAGGGACCTTTATCAATCGACTCTTTAAATTTAAAAGGGCTGTAACAATAATTAATCAGGCCCGGGTATAGAAAAAGTATTTGTTAATAGATTATCTAACTTTATTATATACTCTTATAAGGTGATATAGTATATTTTATAACTAGAAAGGGCGCTCTAGTTAACCGGAGCTTAGGTATTCAGTTAGTCCTTATCCTTCATAGTCTTAAATACTACTACCACTACTACTATTACTACTACTACTACTACGACAGCTCGTACTATTACTTTGGCCACGGTTATAAGTCCTACCTTTCTCGTCTTGTCGCTTCTAGTTCTATGTGTTTCTTGTTCACTTTCTTTCGTTTCGTTTTGCTCATCACGGTGGTCCTAGCGATCCTATTAATTGCGCTGAACTCAATGAAGTAACGTAACTACGCCAGTAGTCCTCTCTACTTACCATGATGTACTCTTTCGACGTGGGGTGCGTCTCCTTTTTGGAATTGTATGAGCTTTCTGTTGTATTTAGCTTGGATGCATGTGTTACAGCCTTGGTTGTGATGTATAAGTAACGTGGGGTAGCTAAGAAGATCAATGTACTAGGTAGTAGGAACAGGCAAGGCGATTCCTATCGGCCATTTATACTCTCGTTCTCCCAGACCCGGATAAGAACTCATGCCTGGCAAAATCCACGTACCAGAAGTGAAGAGTTCCTGAGACTGCGTTGCGTTGTTTGGCGAGGTTTCATGTGGCGGTGAACAGGACTTTCACTTGGTCAATCAATCTGTTCACGACGAACAAAGGAGCACGTTTACCTGGCCCAACACAGCACCAACGATGGACTTTTTCTTGGCTTGTGACTACTGGATACGACTTCAGATAAAGAATCGACTGGATGTTCAAGTCGAGCTAAAATTAGTTCGTTCGGCTACATCAACAAAGTCGAACATTCAACCACTCCCATGACATTCCTCCATGAATGCTTGTCCTGTCTTTGCCTACTAAAATATAATTCCTCTCTAGCGAGGATAGCACAATGCGCAGAACGTCGCGATAAGTCGTCCATCACCACCTTCTTAATCAAATTTTAAGGACCACTGGCTGTTCGGTAGGCAGGTCTAGGCAGGGCAATCATGATATGATTGCAAGTGAGCAGTCCCTAAGGTACCTTGACATGGATGACTACAAACCTTGATTATTCCTGAGTTGAATGCATGTTGAAGAGATGATATCCGTGACTGGATACTTCTTCATTCGCGAGCTGCAGCTAGAATTTGCACCAGCTGAGTCAACGGCCAGAAGCTTCTATCTAGTCTTCGTGGGTCAACATGTACTCTAGGTTTTCGACATAGCCCTCCCTCTGCTTCCGTATTTCAGTCAAGACACTTGATCCGTTGTTTGGAGAGTTCGGGCGTAACCACGATCGCGATATGACGGATCTAAGACCGTTCTTGGTGAACGAAAACAACATCGGAGTGTTTGCTGGATGCAGGCAACCTACGGACACCGAGTCCGGTGCAGCTGGCAAAAATGACAAAATCTACACTCTGTTCAGTTGCCTGACACTTTAAGTGAACAACAAATTCAGCAGGATTTGCCGAAGGTAGAACCCCTGGACTGGGCGATGACTTTTCCTCCCTCGTTTTCAAAGATGAGGCAAATAGGTCAGCCTGGGTCTATTACCCGGCAGGCTGATAGACGTTCAAACCTATCTAACAAGCTATCAGAATAAGTTATGAAGCTCCTGTGACTAGCCTGCGGCTGCAATCCGTGCATGTGGACTTGTTCTCAGACACTCATCATCATCTGTACCACTGGTCACCGGGCAGCAACTTTGTTCGCGAATAATTCTGTCAAGGCGTCAATGGCCTGCCAAAGAGGAGTGATCAAGTTAAGGTAAGTGGCGGAGCAAAATGACGTGGCTAAACAGCGAAGATCTTCGGAGAGATTTTGCAACGAACGCGTACCATGTCAGCAAGAACGCCAACGGGCTTTTTGATATGTTGGCTTGTTATCAAACCACATTCCCTCTGTGCAATCGTATTGCGACCCGTACATCGCCCGTCGCATTATTTCCTATTTACGTTAGAACTGTACGAAACTATCTTTGGGCGCCTACCCAGACAGTCGCTAGACGAATCTTGGTTAGCAGGATCCGAGAGTCAGACTCCGTCCCCAATCGGAAGCTCTCGCTTAGAGAGGCTCGGCTGCACTTGGCTAGGTGCCAAGGACATGGCGCAAGGGGTCGACGCTGACTTATTTTCGCAGTCTTTCGGTGTCAGATGCGAGCTGGCGAATCATGCCATGTGGCTTTCGGTATTGAGGCTATGTTGACATGAGGATTGTAGGCTGTAGCGGCCATTTCGTAACTGTCTAGCCCCTTTCCGAATAGAGCTGTCGACTGCGAGACTGCGAGAGGATTGGAATTTTCGATATTTGTTTTCGACGATGCGAAGGGCGCAGAGGGTGCGTAGATATATATGTAAGTAGACGAGATCGCATCATCTGATCGGCTCACCAACTTGCAACACTGTCCCTCAAAGGTTCCTCCTGTCTCAGTTTCTTTACACTATTGTTCCTCTGCCCAGCCTTTATATATCCACGACAAGATGTCAGAAGTTTGCCCTCTTTTAACAAATGCCAACTGCACTGTGGAAACATGCCCCCTCAGCTGCGCTCAGGTTGAATACCTTCCAACTCTTGCCGGCAATGCAGTCTATGCCGCAGGTTTTGGCCTGCTTCTGATCGCGCAGATCGGTCTCGGCATCCGGTATAAGACATGGGGATTCATGGTTGGCATGGTCTGTGGTCTCGTCCTCGAGGTCGTCGGATACGCCGGCAGAATCATGCTTCACAACAACCCATTCGACTTTAATAACTTCATCATGTAAGTCTTCAACCCAGCTGTTCCTCAACCCCCCATGGCATCTGAAGGTGTCTGACAAAATGACCACAGCTACCTCGTTCCTTTGACAATCGCACCCGCCTTCCTCGCCGGCGCCCTTTACCTCTGCCTCTCCCGCATCATCATTGTTCACGGCCAGCACATCTCCCGC